AAGTGTTTTGTTGACTACTATTTATAAACGTGTATGTATGGGTAAATTCATGCTATTTGTGTTTGAATTTTACATGAACTCTTTTTGATATTCTTTGCAGAGTTATTTAAGACAACTACTGGAAGGTGTTGCGTACTGTCACGCCCAACGTGTTCTCCACAGAGACCTGAAGCCCCAGAACTTACTAATAGACGAGGAAGGTCACATTAAATTGGCCGATTTCGGTTTGGCTCGAGCTTTTGGTATTCCTGTGCGTGCTTACACACATGAGGTTGTCACACTTTGGTACCGTGCACCAGAAATCCTTCTTGGGGCTAAGTTCTACTCAACCGCCGTTGATGTTTGGAGCTTAGCCTGTATTTTTGCAGAGATGGTGAGACAATTTTTTATAGATATGTAATAAAAATGCTTTTTCATTCTTTCATTAACAATAAGACAGCAGTAAGTGAAAAGAGGCTTCCTGAAAGTTTTTTTCGGATATGTTGAAACAGTTGGCCATCCTTCTGTCCATATCGGACCCAGGCGAAGGGGCAACGCAAAGCCGCCTTCGCCAAAAACATGTCGGATCCCGCGTATCTGGGGCCGAAGAGTTCGACGAGCGAAGTAACCCATAGACAGAGCGCACTGAGTTTCTTGACGGGACCTCAGTTGGTTGCGATTCCGGTCCAGTGGTAGATTCTGCGAAATGCTGCACTTGCTTGGGCTTGTGTTGGCAAATCTCTCAGCCTTAGAGCACACCTGTCAGTCCGCGAGAAGCTGGAATAGCCTCTTAGGCTACCAAGGAGTAGGGGAAAAAACCCTTGTGCTTAACAGTTATCGGAGCTTATAAAAAATGGCATTAGATATTATAATATTTAACTTAATTGTATAGAATAACCAACCAAAACACAAAATTAAATAAAAATAGATATGATATTATCTACTCATGTAGCCTCAGAAAAAAATTACCCCTATATATATACCCCTATATATAAATAATAGAAAGGGGTTTTATTATTATTTTTATTGCATTTATGTACAAGTTCTGTGCCCATTGCACGCTGTATTTACTAAAGCCGGGACACGACTGAAGTCGACAGGTCTCATTTTTATATTTTTATCAAAATGGCGCTTGTCCCAGTCACTAGACTAGTACGCAGAAGGGGTAGAGTGGTGCTACCAACCCATGCTCACTAGATACTAGCTTGTGTAATTGCATAAAGTATAATTTTTGCGGGTTTGGATGTTGATTAGACTTTCACTATCATTGTGAAGTATGTATTTCATTAGAAAATATGCTGGGAACGATAACCGGGCGTCTTATCCCTTAGGCCACGACTTTCACAGTTTCCACGGTATAATAAATAATACTAGTGTATTTAATTACAGGCAAGCGGTCGCACTCTTTTCCCCGGTGACAGTGAAATAGACCAGCTATTCCGCGTATTCCGAGCGCTGGGTACACCAGGCGAGGCACTATGGCCGGCAGCGAGAAGACTTCCTGACTTCCGAGCCGCCTTCCCGCGATGGCCTGCCCGACCTGCCCGAACATTACTACCAGCAGGACTCCGAGCGCACAGTTCAGCGGCAGCGTTGTTTGAGGCCATGCTGCGTTATGAACCTGAGACCCGAATTCCTGCCCGAGCTGCTCTTACGCATCCTTACTTGGCTGATGCGACTCTGGTGCCGCCTCCTCTACATCCTTAATGTATTGGAATCCTGTAGAGGTAGAGGTAACAGATCAAAGGGGACGGGTAGGGTACTTTGTGGAGTTTAAGGAGTTTTGTCATTGGACCGATGACACCCACAACCTATTGGGACAGTCCAGGGTTTGTCATTTTATTATGAAGTGAACCAAAACTAATAAAAATACCCTTTGAAACAAATCTAAAATTAACAATGTTTTTTTTTGTTTCTTGTTGTGACTCTGGATATTGGGCCAAAGTAATAGAATTATTGTATTTTCATCGATCCTTGATACGTTAAGAAATTTATAAGTTATTCAGACGTCTTGGAGTTAGTGGAAATGACATTCATGGATTCTGTTGCATACACATAAAACTATAGTAGAATTATTTTGTCCGTGCAGTTTGGGTCATAAAAAATCGGGGCGGTGAGTATTTCGCTCTCTCTTCCACTCACGTGCCTTATGGACGGGCATAGTGATGCGCATTATTGTTGTCGATAAGCGTTATCGATAGTGTATTTAGTTTTTTCATTTTGTGGGTTAGTGAAAAAATGAAAGAAAAAAATCACTAATCGAACACTTACACCACATATCACCGCAGCATGTTAACGAGAACGGCAGAAATTAACACTTTGTAACTTTTCGGGATTTATTCTTATTTCAGTGAAAAATTATAACACATTGTTGATAACAACACGTGTAAATATTATTTTGAATAAATTCTGCCGTTTGATACAAAATAAAGGAGTAGCCATTGTGTCACTAAACAAATTCAGAGAACGAATGCAAAAAACACATTTCTCTTCGACATAATGTACTATAATTTGCAGGTAAGTACAAATGACTCTTAACATAACAATGTCTCATCACCCTTCGTATCCCACCCCGCCGCCGTGTACCTGCCTTCGATGACTCATTTGTTTTTATCGATAATGGCGTTGCGCCCGCGCAACATGCTCACCGCCCTAGCCGGGCTATGTTTTATGACCCAAACTGCACGGACAAAATAATTCTACTATAGTAAAAGTGTTGAAATGATTTTCAGCACATACAGATTATGAAGCACAATATTCTGTTCGGAACTTGTATGTGCTTAATCTCTTGAAAATCACTTAGATATCTTGGTTGATAGATGGATGAAGAACTACTAAAGAAAAAGACGTACAATGAGTCGACTGTCGTGCAGTTTCATTATGTAGTATTCGGAAACATGTAAATATGACTGTAGTTGGTCAGCTGACTGCAGGAAGGGTTGCCCAGCCTGAAATTAAAACCCCAGTTATCCTAATTCCATCTAATCAAATCAGTCATCCTCTCAGTTCTGACCACTAAGTGGGGATAACTCAAGGTTATTTGTTTGGTGTCAACCAATACCATGAAATGAAACAGCCATGATAATAAATGTATTATGGATATTTAGACTTGACGCATGAGACTACCGCCATGTGCTATGTTGATTCAACCATTTTGTTCCAGTAGTTGTGTCGGTACACGATCTGATAGCGAAAAGTTTCGACCAACACCATAAAGAACTTTCGTTTTCCAGCTGGGTTAGGTAGGGTCCTGGTACAGAAAGCAGTTATACTTGATACGGCACGTATTGTGAGGAGGTTTCACACTCTGGAGCCTGAACCACTGGTGACTTGTGTCGTAGACACTGCCATCAGTGGCAATCTATTTATATAGTGTTTCTGAAGATTGTATTTCTAATCTTTTTTTTTTTTTAATATAGTTTAATTAATAAAATTTTAATAAACATGTATTAAGTATAGTTTTTAAGAAGACTGATATTACATGGATTGTTCATGCATTTATTGTTTCTTGTTTTGTATGCGCAGAGAGTTAAAAAAATCACAAAGTTATTGGCGTACTTGGCCCAGAAAGCGACTAATATACCAAAGTGAGGACTTCCTTGTTGGAGTCTGGTAAAACTACACTTCTCAAATCGAAAATCTTCCATTGGTTTAGAAGTTGAAACATTTTACAATTATAACGAAACCTCAAAAGAGACCACTACTAAGTGGCTTTAGCAAACAAACTACTTTAATTTTTAATTAGGTAGGCAGCGGTTTGGAACCGGTAGGCAGCGGCTTAAGAGATAGGCAGCGGCTTGGCTCTGCCATCAGGTGGGCCGTATGCTCGTCTGCCTGATCTGGCAATAAAAAAAAATGTTTTTTTTACAAGTACTTCTAAAAACACCTTAAATAAGTTCATGCCTCACTTGCCTCGAGATGGCTCACTGGCGTTACTTGCATCTGTTATGAATATACTCATCTCTTTTGTCGTGAAAGGGCAGTCTAGCTCACGACCTTAGGGACCTTGGTTACCTGGTGTTGAGGAACTTCATGGAAACCCAAATCTATCGTGCTCGTAAACGGCATCACTCTCGGGTCGTGAGGTTCAAGTCTTAATTGCTTTGAAATATTCGCAGATAAAGCGCTAGCACCTTTTCGTTATAAGTTTTAATATGCGGAGGGCTAGATTATGGATACTGCTGTAAGAGACAAGGCCGATGGATAAATGGGAATTAGTCATATATCTATAAATTGTGATTGTCCTATAGGCAGACGAGCTTACGGCCCACCTGATGGTGAGTGGTTACCGTCGCCCATGGATTTCAGCAATGCTAGGGGCAGAGCCAAGCCGCTGCCTACTGTTATATTTGTTCGCACCTGCTCCCGCTTCGTAAACCCTTCTGGGACTTTGTCCTCTCTTCGGCGATGATACTAGATATCACTGGAGTGAGCTGGGAAGATGTCGCCAATTCATCGGCGATTCTAGACCGCCGCATCAGAAGCTTCGGAAGTGGCGTATGTAATTAGTGGTGGTAGGACATTTTGAGAGTATCTTTGTGAGTAGTGAGTAGACTTGTGAGTACCTACCGCACGGGTAGGTACCACTACCCTGCCTATTTCTGCCGTGAAGTAGTAATGCGGTTCGGCTTGAAGGGTGGGGCAGCCGTTGTAATACTGAGACCTTACAAATCACATCTCAAGGTGGGTGGCGGAATTAACGTTGTAGATGTGTATGGGCTCCACATAACACCAGCTGTAAGCTCGTCCACTCATCTAAGCATTAAAAAAAAACGATCCAGAAGACCGGACAATATACAGTCGCCGTCAGCCTTAACCCGTTATTTCGGGCCAAAGAGTCGTGGGTCCGATTTCCACATCGCAAGCTACTAGGCAGGATAAAATGCTTAATGCAATATTAAACATAATAATTAAGGCCTATTGGTAGCATAGGAGGCATTGACACTTCATGTTTGGTTTGTAGTCTTAGAATGTTATGTGGGTAATCTATGTATGGCTTGTAGCTAATCTATGGCGCTGAACTTGAACTGTGTTTATTTCTTTCTGTGTGATTTTATTTTCAATAAAATTTTTAGAGTTTAATTTTGTGACATTGTTTATTGAAATAAGAATATAATCCTTCAAATTCGCGAAACAAGTTTTCTGTGGTAACTTCGTATAAAAGTCGTTTTATACACAATGTCCATTGAGATAGAATCAGCCGAGTGAGTTTACTATCAATGTAAACACCAAATTACTTGAAATTATTCATCAAATATTTAATTTAGTGCCTAAAATATATTTTTATTTGAATTGCAGTGTTATCAGACTGATACAACAATACTTGAAGGAGTCAAATTTAACCAAAACATTGCAGACTTTGCAGGTTAATTCTGTTGATATATAAATATACCAATTTTTTTAAGGAATAAAATTAGCGTAAATTTTTTAAACTTTACAGATTGTACTTACTTTACTTAATTATTTACTTATATTAATGAGTTTTGTGTACATTTATGAGAACTTCAATCGTATCAAGTCAGTTAATAATGTACATTTCATTAATCAGATGTCATCTCTGAATTTTGGAAGTAAATGATTTTTAATATATAGGAGGAAACTGGAGTGACTCTAAATACAGTAGACAGCGTGGATGGTTTCTGCGCAGACATTAACAATGGCCACTGGGACACAGTACTTAAGGCTACTGCTTCACTCAAGCTCCCTGACAAGAAGTTGATGGAATTATATGAGCAGGTTGTGTTGGAGTTGATAGAATTGCGAGAATTGGGTGCTGCGAGATCCTTGCTACGTCAGACACATCCTTGTCTGTTGATGAAGCAGCATGAAACAGATCGGTATATGCATCTTGGTGAGTCAAAATTGTAGTACAGTCAAAACCGTTTACTGCGACATCGTTTAATGCAACATGCCGGTTATAATAACCTAGAACAAAGGTCCCGGCTGAATGCCATATGACCGCCTTATTAAAAATATTGCTTTCTACGACATTGGTAATAACGACATACCTCATAAAACGACCACATTTAACTAATATTTCGGAGAATTAGATCTGTTAGAACGACCGGCTAAGCTGTATTGTAAACAATTTGAATAGGTATCCACATTGCCACAAAGCCATTGAAGACATTTGTCTTCAATGGCTTTTAAAATCAGGAAAGAAAATTCAGAATTCTTAGAAACGAAACACGTGCATGCGGTAGTCAAAGCCCACTTCTTCATATCTCTTCAGTTAGTTTGTTACTTATCTATACCTACACAAGACGCACCAAAACTTTGTGGAGTTATTCGTGAAACTTTCAAAATGTCGCAAAGAAAAAGAAAACAAATTAATATTGAAGAAAAATCGCGTATTATGTAAATATATTTTTCCAATAATTCCCTATCGATTTGTTTGTACTTGCACGATACACATTAAACATAACCGGTTGTTACGACTATCGGTTTTTACGACTGAATATGAGCAGTCCCTTCGATGTCGTTATAACAGATTTTGACTGTACTTATAAAATATGTATTTGGCTAAAAATACATCCAGCCTTTAAATCAGATTTGTATCTTAGATTGCTAATGAATATGGATAATCTATCTTCTATCTTCTATATATATAAAAATGAATTGCTGTTCGTTAGTCTCGCTAAAACTCGTGAACGGCTGGACTGATTTGGCTAATTTTGGTCTTGAATTATTTGTGGAAGTCCAGAGAAGGTTTAAAAGGTAGATAAATATGAAAATGCTCAGAATTAAATACTAATAACAATTGTGTTTATCCTTTGATGTGTCCCAGTGGAATGGATTCCTTTTGTTTGTTTTAAGTTTACAAAAGCTTAGGTCTTTTATTTATCGATTGAGGCACTACGAAGTCTGCCGGGTCAGCTAGTATAATATAAAAAGATATAATATTTAAAAAAAAAGTTATTGCAATACAATAGTAAATAAATGCAATACAATTATATAATACTACCGCTGTAGCAACTTGGCTATGGCTTTGGCATTGTTGATGTCCATAATGTGACCAGATGGGTGGTCCTAAGCTGATCAACCTAGAGGCAATAAAAACATGTTTAGTCTAGGCAATTTTAATATATTTTTGTACACATTTCCAATTTTTTTTTTTTATTACGTGAAGTGGTTACTGAAGCCCATGGACATCTACAACGTAAATGCGCCACCCACCTTGAGATATAAGTTCTAAGATCTCAGTATAGTTACAACGGCTGCCACAACATTCAGACCGGCGCGGCGGCGGTCTACCGAGCAATATCAACCGCTCGGTGGGAGATCGCGCCACGCACCTTGAGATATAAGCTCTAAGGTCTCAAGTTACGGCTGCCCCGCCCTTCAAACCGAAACGCATTACTGCATCACGGCAGAAATAGGCAGGGTGGCGGTACATATCCGCGCGGACTCACAAGAGGTCCTTCCACCAGTCAAAAATTGTTTTAATTCATAGTTAAATTTGTACGTGTCTGAAAGTTTATCTTCATATGACAGAAAACCTGTTAGCACGTTCATATTTCGACCCTCGTGAGGCGTACGGCAGCGGAGGAGGCAAGGAGCGGCGCCGCGCTGCCATCGCAGCGTCCCTCGCCGGGGAGGTGTCCGTCGTGCCGTCGTCCCGTCTCCTGGCACTACTGGGCCAGGCCCTCAAATGGCAACAGCACCAGGGTCTGCTCCCTCCCGGCACCACTATAGATTTGTTCCGTGGTAAAGCCGCAATAAGAGACCAAGAAGACGATCTCTGCCCCACCCAACTGTCCAAGATCATCAAATTCGGTCAGAAGTCCCACGTGGAGTGCGCACGATTTTCTCCTGATGGACAATATTTAGTGACGGGCTCCGTAGATGGCGTCGTTGAAGTTTGGAACTTTACAACGGGAAAAATCCGTAAGGATTTGCGTTATCAGGCTCATGATGAGTACATGTGCATGGAAGAGGCGGTGCTGAGCCTGGCTTTTGCGAGGGATAGCGATACATTGGCTGCTGGGTCTAATGATGGAAAAATTAAGGTAATAAATGTTTTAAAACCTCATATTAGTTAACCTTTTGATTACTGCTTCCGTGTAAAAAGTGTAGTTATTATTGCTCCCTAATATATTATTATGTAATGCTATGTATATGAGCTAATGAGCTCCCAATTCACCTGGGCATCATTAAGCGGTAACAGACAAAACGGAAAGCAATATATATTTCCTAAGATGATTATATCCCTCCTCTTCCCCACCCCTTCCCCTTTCCCACCCTTTACGCTCTGACCGTTGACCCCACATGTCAGCTGTTGTCGAAATTGAGTTTTAATAAGAATTTCAGCATAATAATATAGTTTTTATTTAACAATATTTTTGAAGGTTTCACTTCTATTGTGTGTGAACTGTACACATGTCTCTTTAGTAGTTTAGTAAAGTAGACTGAACGCATTTAACTGAGACCGCGTTGGACCATACTTACTGTCAGTCAGGTAAATCGGACATTATACAATACTTTTGAAATTTCAGTCTCTTGTCTAAAGATTAATGGTGGAGTTCACATTGTAGTGTGCACGGCACTAAACTTTGATCATGAAATTTTTTGGTCGTTCAAGATTTGTATTGTATCCTTTGTTTAACAAAGGTCATTAAGTAAATTCAACATAATTATTCAATAAAATTCTCTGTGAACAGGTCTGGAAAGTGTCAACGGGTAAAGTCCAACGCAAACTGGACCGAGCTCATTCTAAGGGCGTGACCTGCCTTCAGTTCACCCGAGACAACACTCAGATCCTCTCGGCCTCCTTCGATCGGACCATAAGGTAGTTATTTATAAAGTTAAACCTTAAAGTGTACGGGAGGCATCGATGATCTACCACTGCACTCAGCTGCTAAACGTCTTATTGATACAGATACTGACATCTCAATTTTTATATAGGGCAGGATTTGGTTGGATCTCCAGGGTTCAACCATTGCGATGAGCGCTTCCGATTATCGTACAGTATCCACTTTTCATCACAAGTAATGTTTCGATTTAAAATTCCTTCATTATTGTGTCGGTCGAGCAAAGTAAAACAGCAGTCGACGCGCGTTTGCAAGTTCCATTTACCCAATTCATGAGGTACCCATCATCCAAGTTTTTTTACTTACCCGATTTGCTTCAAATTGATTAATACAGCTTTATCACTGACTCCGAAGCCTGCAGCTATCTCTGAAGTGCTTTGTGATGGATCTGTTTCCACAATAGCCTTTAATTCTTCATTTTCCACTTTGTTCTCCGACCGTCCACGGAGCTGGTTCTGAAGGTCGAAATTTCTAGAACGAAAACGTTGAAATCAAAAACGTACCGCGCTTTCTTTTGCGACTCCAGCGCCGGACACATCATTCATCCTTCGAGCTGTGTCTGCAGCACTGCGTACTCGTAACTATACCGATATTTCATGACGTGTTCTGTTGTGTGGTAGCGACGCCAAAGGAAAAAATAAAGAGGAGAAAACCAACGAAGGACTGTTTTCAAAATTCAAATGTACCAGCTAAATGAATTTGTAAATTTGAATTTGTAATTCTTAACCAAAGAGGATATATTTCAGATCGAATTGGTCAGTGCGACAAAACACTAATTTCACATCTAAGGACCGAATATTATTGTTGACTCCGAGAGCTACCTGCCCCTCACATCTTACTCAGTAGCGTTCGTCCGCACTGTTATAATATGTTGCTATTTACAATAGCGGTACAATATTTCACAGAATCCACGGCCTTAAATCGGGTAAAGTCTTGAAGGAGTTCCGAGGACACACTTCGTTCGTGAACGAGGCGGTGTTCACGCTGGACGGGCACGCGGTGCTCAGCGGCTCCTCCGACGGGACGGTGAAGGTGTGGGCCGTCCGCTCGGGCGAGTGCACGGCCACGCTCAAGCCCCTCGGCAGCGGGGAGCCCCCAGTCAACACCTTACTCCTCACCCCGAAGAACCCGGACCATTTCGTGGTGTGCAACCGGACCAATACCGTGGCGATAATGAATATGCAAGGGCAAATCGTGAGGTCGTTCTCGAGCGGGAGGCGTGAGGAGGAGGGCGGCGCGCTGGTGTCGGCGGCGCTGAGTGCGCGCGGGAGGCTGGTGTACTGCGCCGGGGAGGACCTCGTGCTGTACGCCTTCTGCGCCAACACCGGCAAGCTGGAGAGGACCATTAATGTGAGTGCCCCTGTACTTTTTACTGGTGGTAGGACCTCTTGTGAGTCCGCGCGGGTAGGTACCACCACTCCGCCTATTTCTGTCGTGAAACAGTAATGCGCTTCGGTTTGAAGGGTGGGGCAGCCGTTGTAACTATACTGAAAACTTAGAACCTATAATTCAAGGTGGGTGGCGCATTTACGTTGCGGATGTCTATGGGTTCCAGTACCCACTTAACACCAAGTGGGTTGTGAGCTCGTCCACCCATCTAAGCAATAAAAAAATATAAATAGCCTTCCTCGTTAAATGGGCTATCTAACACTGAAAGAATTTTTCAAATCGCACCAGTAGTTCCTGAGATTAGCGCGTTCAAACAAACAAACTCTTCAGCTTTATAATATTTATTATTTCAGATTCACGAGAAGGCGGTGATCGGTCTGACGCATCACCCGCATCAGAACCTGCTGGCCACGTACAGCGAGGACGGCTTGCTCAAGCTGTGGAAACCATAATTGCATACGCTTTAAATTATAAATTAATTAAAAAATATATATGTGTACAATTTGTGTCCTAATATACCTAAGTATCGACCGAACTCGTCCACCAAACTACGCAATAAAAATATTAGCCTTTTATTTCAGAGATGTATTCAATGCGGGTTCTCACATAAACGTGCCACGTTAACCTCAAACTAAGATTGTGACTGACATTGGCAGACCGACGATGACACTGACATTGGCCGAGAACTAGACCCGTGCAGTAGACAGGGTTGTTAGCTCCGCGGTAGTCCTATGTGGCCGCGCGGATACAGAAATCCAATCAAAAGGGTTCACAGGTGGAGGGGACAAAAAAAGGGGGTCCGGTGAGGGGACAGGGGGTCCCTGGGGCGGGTGGTCCGGGAGACAATGCAGTAAATCGATTTCCCTTCTCATCAGCGCGCGCCCGCACGCTACTCCAACGCAAGACGCGCTTGGGCGTGGTGGTCTACTCCCTGCTGTTGTCCTTCTCAATCATCACGGGAATCTAGTGCTTGCGAGCAGCACTGTCTCGATTTGATTTTGATTCACAATTTATCGTTATTAGAGCATCACTATAACAGCTTGTCCGGTACCACTGAATTATTATTTTTCGTGTCCGTAATTGTCAGGACAAAGTTCGTATAAAACTATTATTTTAGTAAAATGCAGGGGTAAAATCTAAAACTAAGTATATGAAATATTGCCAAGCATTTTACAACCGTCATAATTCCTCAGCATTGAGGAATACGAGATGATAAAATAAACCGTTTGAGTGTTTAGCAATGAAGTAGGAAACCTATGGAAATGAAACGTCAACCAAAATTTCGTGCCACTGTGACGTCATCTGGCCACAAAACATGGCGGCTTTAGTGCTGTACAAAAGATTTCAATGTTATCAGGTTTTATCGATAAACGTTCTTGGCTCATTTTATTTTAAATATTGTTGAGTATTATTTATTTGTAGAATTTATACTTTAATGGGAAGTAAGTAGGTATATTGTTATGTGCAAATATGATATGATTTAGATGGGTGAAATCTAAGACAAGTTCGTCCTTCGAATTTGCCAAGTAAACGATATGATGATTTTTAAAAGTTGCTACACTGATTTTATAAAGTTGTCGTTTGTCGCAAAACATAAAGATATGGCGTAGTTCAAAGCCATCAGCCCATTTCTAGCATGCTAAATGTTATCGTATTTTGAGTACGTGTTTTTCTTAGACTATTACAATCTATTTTAATTGTTTTGCTGACTCTAAAGTCCGTAACATACTACCGCAGCGCACCCCAAGGAAGGTGCGCCGCACCATTTGAATCACTTTCGCTTGAGAGTGATTCAAATTTTAAACTTATCAAGGGACCGCGTGAAAAAAAAAACACCTACAGAACATTTATTCATTAATTACAAACGTCATTCCTTGTGACTTCCTCTCTAAAATCACTTAATTATTAAATATTTAACAAATTTACAATAGTGTTTTACTCACTGCGGAATAAAACTATTTTATTTAAATAGTTCCGAAGAGATTTTGTCGGTAGCCTTTTTCCCGAAATATCTAAACAGAATGTCTAAATATGTTTTGATGACATATTTTAAAGTGGTATTTATGATTAGTGTCATGATCAATAGATTCCGACCGAAAAATGGATTTTTCGGATGAGGGCTCCATAATGAATTTAAATACATATAGATAATAGTTTTAGGGCATCGACTTTCTTGAGATCCTATAAAATACGTTTTAATTATTATTTTTGTATGTTTTAAGCATGATAAATTATGAAATTTTATATAATCAATCATATTAAATCGATATCAAAGTCAATAAATAATGTACAACCCAAAACAGACGGCCGAACTGACGTGACAATGACATTTGGCGCGCTAAACATGGCGGATTTTCGGCCTCATTAGACGGAGACGGAGATATTTACGTATATTCATGTTTCATTTTATGTACGCACTGAAATACTGTTATATTGTTTTCCTGCGAGTTAAAGTGCTGAGTAAGAACGAGATAGATATATGTTTATGTATGTGCCTTCAAAATGGGTGCTATTTATATAAGTAATTGTACGTATAGAACAATATGTCGTGTCCCTACTATATAGGTCTATGGTGTTTAGAGTAAACTGACCGGACGACTGTTTAATATAGGTAACCTCTATACGATTTATGACATAAATCTTAAAAGAGGTGAATATGGTTTAAAGATGACATAAATGATAATTTCAATATTGAAATATTAGATCGAATATATTAAGTGTATAATCTATGATATTAGAAGAAGGAACATTAGAAATATAAAAAATTTTTGAATATTGAAATATAAAAGACATAAAAACTGGTGAAGCAATAGCTTTAAATGTTGTTTCTCTTTATAGAGCAACTCAGTTTGTGCTATAGTTTTACTAGGATAAACTTTATTTTGATTTGAATAAAAGAATATATTATGTATATATAAAATGTTGATAGTTTAATAAGTCTAGTATAGTATAAAGAATACTTTCAACAAAAAATACTTAATAAAAAAAAATGGCGCGTGTACAACTTGCTGTACGTGACAGAAGTGAAACTTCTTTTGCGCTGTGTAGTATTGTGGCTTTTTCATTTTTCATTCTTAAATCAAATTTCTCTTGTAATAAGAAATGGTGTTTATAAGAGAAACGACCTAGCTCGCTTTGTCCTTTCCCTCTTCAGAGTCTAGTGGCTCTCGAGACGCTCTGTTTATTTTCTCACTCTCGCTCGTCTTAAATTGTATCTTTTTTCTCTAGCCGTAACGAATCTATCGCGAGTTAAATTTGACTCTCAACGCGCCTTAAGAAGTTTCACTTCAAATAATATTCGCGTCCACTCCGCCCCCGAGACATGGAACGCGTCAGAACTACATGCGTCGCGTCGAATCAATGTAGTTTTATTACAAAATCCATAAATAAATTCTGAATGTGGAGCGTACTTGTACAATAATTGATGTATTTTTCTCGCATTGTCTTATCTAAGTTTATTTAATTAAAATTTTAGGAGGCTCGCTCACTTGTCAATTCAGGCTCAACTGTGTGGCGGCTCGGGTCGGGATGTCGATGTTGAGGGACAAGCTCTCGTGTCACCTGATACTAAGTGGTGACGGGTGTTCATAGACATCACAGCGCGAACTCAGTACAGCTCACCGTAAGGTCGAAATTTCAGCCTTTAGATTAGATGTCGCAGAATTAGGCGTGGTAATGGATAAGACTTGTGCGAGCTCTTAATACGTGCGTATCACGATTTCTAACGGAAATTTATACCTTTGTATGGTTGATTTATTTATAACAAAATGTTGAATTATGTATCATCTTGGACGTCATCCGTGGACTCTTAGGTACGTTAGGTTAAGTACGTGCATGTTTACTGCATCAGCCGAATACGGTCGGACATTTTTTTAGTTTTTTTATGTATATAGCACAGCGTTTTGTGATAAGAAGACTAATTAAGTTTTTAAACGAACAAAAGTTACGTTGGAACGACATTTTTTCACAATTACCAATTGAAATACCTCGTAAACGTACCTACTACACGGTAGGTGCGTGCTCAGAGTTGAATCTGCGACACCTCGCACCGAAACCACGCAATTTACCACTGGATAATGAGCGCGTAAAGTAATAAATGCCCAGGGAAAATTAAACCGAAACGTCGACCATAAAATCGGGTGACTCGAACGTCCATCAAGATATTTCCTGGTATTGATTCTGTTACGGACACGGCGAATGAGCGATCCTCTTTAAGACCTTGTGATGTCGGCTTCAAAGTTTGTTAAAAATTATAAACCTGAGTACACATCGGTTGAGTGGTATTTATCCGAAATTAACTTAGAAATAAGCCAAGGAGTTTCGAAAAAGGATATTATGTCGTGCTGCTTCGAAATACTTAGGCGGGAGTTTAATTGTTTACTCAAGAATAAAAAATAGCCGTGACCATTGTATAACAATAAATGCCTTAGAAATATTATTAATTAACGGGTTCTTACCACGATTTTCATATGTAATGAGTTATTGACCTTTCGGCGTGTCGTAAGCGCCATGATCACGGGTAGAGTGAATACTGCGAGTAGGATGTTAAGACCAGATATCTGCCTACCCTCTTTGTAGTTCGTTTTTCCTGCTAAAATATGGGGAACTCCATAAATATGAAAATCGTCGTAAGAACCCGTTAAATAATATTGTTTATAACGCAGATAGCCGCGAAAATTTTAAACAATGCGTAGTGCATGGGTTGTACGTTTGTGATAAAACATAAACCATAGAAGGGCAGGTTCCTTAGTCCTTAAAATAATTCAAGGGAATGAATATTTTTAATGAATTCTTCTACACACAATTGCTGATAGGGTGTGTTGCAACTCTCTATTTGTAGTAGATGTACTCGCCAAGCAGTAGCCCTTGAGCTGTTAGGTTCCCTTCGAAAGCCCTCCTGCCCTGGTGAAATTGTAAAGGCCTTTAGACCATGGGATATAACTTCTTAAGAAAACAACTGTATTGGCCATTGTTGTTTACCGAAAAGGAATCATGGATCTCATTAACATCACTTACGTGAATTCGAGTCAAATCTTGACCCCTAAGATGCCAAACCGCTTTGGGTTTCCACTTTCGTATATAAAATATGATATTGTGGGAACCAGACTTAGAGTACATTTTTAACTTGTAGTTTTCAACAAAGCGTCCGTATAAATATCCATTATTCAGCCTTTTCAATACAAGTTAGCGACGTTCATTTGCATGACTGAGTTATTATTGAAAATAAATTGTTTAGTTCATTTCGTTTTCGTCAAAGAAATACCTAGTTTGACTCGTGATGAACTGCTGGAAACATATCTAAATGCTTCTGAAAATAATTCTTTTGGAATAGATACAATTAAAGCTACACGACGTTTTAGAGAGTGGTACTTTGTAAACATGACTTCGAATAATAGTTACGTTAACACAGAAGATAATTATGATATGAAACGTGTAAGTACCGTGGAAAGAAGTCATGGTTGGGAACCAGAATTTAACTCACACGAAGGGAGTTACAGCTATGAAGAAGCCATTAATCTTGCAGGTCAGTATTGTCAGTATTTATTGCCTGAATAGATAAAGGTCCTCCTTGCGTCGTTCTCCTCATTACTGAGGGTCGTGACTCCCCCGCTGAAGCTCTCTTATACGATTGTTCTCCATCTGCTGCTATCCTTGGCATCGTGGAGGGCATCGTGGAGCTTGATGTCCAGACAAGACCGAATTTGGTCCGAGCATTTCGTGGGATTGCGTACTCTGGGACGTTTGACCTCTATCTTACCTGTCACCATCAATTGCTCAAGGTCGTGACCCTACATTTTGAGAAATGTGTCCAAAGATCTGCAATACTATATGAATGCGTGTGTGGAGAGCTTAGTTTTAACATTAAGCTCCTTTACTATTGACACATTGGTGCAAAAGGCAGTTCACGGAATCTGTAGCAATTTATTCCAACACCATATCGAAGGCCTCGATGCGGTCTCTGTCGCCCTTTTGCAGTGTGGAGGTCTCCGCTTCGTAATTGGATATGGAGAAAACCATTGAATTCACCAACCTGAGTTTTGTTTTGCGCGAAACGTTTCGGTCTCTCCACATCTTATGCAGTTGAGACATTGCATTTTTGGTTAACCCTATACGCATCCTTGCCTCTTTTATTCTTCATCCTGCCTCTTTGGCTTGGAAAGACGTTGTGTCTCCTGCTGTAAAGAGTGGAACGTTCGCCTGCGATTGACATTGTGCTCCACAAAACAACAGTACAATACAGATTTGCTCAGTAACGTAGACCTGTTTCTGAAAACATTAAACGCGAGACTAAATCGCAAAAGAAATTTAATTATTTAAATCGTATCTTTTAATAACTCCTCCAATATAATTGAGAATTCGACCTCATGCCTCAAAGTGGTAGGCGGCTTTCGAGCTGTGATGCGATAGGTTCCTACTAATACTTTAGATCATGTGGATTGTGAGCATATTTATCTACGCGGCTTTAATGTACTGATTTAATTTTCTTGCAACCTTTCTGTACAGTGCGAAGAAAGATTCATCAGATTGTTTTCAGTACATGTTAAGGTCTCTTTGATTAGGTATATTTTACACAATATTATCGAGATTTCAGGGTCTTTTTGCGACATGACTCACGCGGGAAAGGTATTCGATATGATGCAATACCAGAACATGCCATAACTCTTCTTCCTAGCATTATCTCGGTCTAGGGCCATGGTCCGCTTTTCTACTTAAACTCCTCCACTTTGCTCTTTCTACAGCATCCTTCTGAGTGAGGTTATTCTGCTCTATATCCGCTTTACCACATACAACCAACGATTCTTGGGCCTACCGCGGGATCTCGGACTTATTACGTAGAGGTTGAAGTATCTATTTCCGATGTAGTCTGGGTACTGGCCATACTGCTAATAGAAGAACGTGTTTTTTTTCAGGCAACGGTTGGTACAACCGAGGTCTGCTCGCGGTCCTCAGCATGGCGCTGCTAGGGATGGGTATTGACATATTCGGTTTCTCCGTCATCGTGACCGGTTGCACATGCGACTTCCAGCTTGAGCATTACCAGAAAAACATACTCTTGTCCATGTCTTTTGTTGGTGGGTATCTCAAAATTACTTAACATCAAAAGTACACGAGAGATAATCTTTGAAAAAGCTTTAAAAGGTTGCTATTGTAACTTAAAGTACTAACATATAGTTCTTATCAATGGTATGGCTTAATTAAACGGAAAGACTAAGTCTAAGTACACATTCGGGAGTCGATGGAGACTAACGCCTTCTTTCGCCATCACACCACCGAAACTTCTTATTTCCAGGTCCAATTTTAACATCCTACCTGTGGGGCTATCTGTCAGATACTCACGGTCGTAGAGCAAGTCTACTGATCGGGCTTTGGGTCAGCTTTCTGGCGTCAACTCTAAGCGCATTCTCCGCTAACTGGATCATGCTAGCAGTCTTAAAAGCTTTCAGTACTAGTTTGTAAGTATTCGACTACTTCTGATAAGTTCTAATAAATAGACAGGGGAGTAGTGCCTACCCGTGCAGTACATGTTAAAGATTTCCTTCCACCGGGACTTAAGTCGCTTGGAGGAACCACAGGAACTTGAGGCTTAGGGACAAGGCGGTCCGGCAGGAAAATGATTAAGGATATTACTACAAAGAATAAATGATATGCACAAGTTGTCGTGGCCTAATGGATTCGTGTTGAACTATGCACCGATTTTCGAATCTCAGGCGGATACCACTTTTTCTAATGAAATAAGTACTCAACAAATGCTCACGATTGACTTCCACGGTGAAGGAATAACATCGTGTAATGAAAATCAAACCCGCAAAATTATAATTTGCGTAATTACTGGTGGTAGGACCTCTTCTGAGTCCGCGCGGGTAGGTACCACCGCCCTGCCTATTTCTGCCGTGAATCAGTAATGCATTTCGGTCTGAAGGATAGGGCAGCCGTTGTAACTATACTGATATCTTAGAACTTATATCTCTAGGTGGGGGGCGCATTTCAGTTGTAGATGTCTATGGGCTCTAGTAACCACTTGTGGGCTGTGAGCTCGTCGACCCATCTAAGCAATAAAAATATATATATATACAAAAATTTTTGACTTCGATTGTTTTAAGTGATTTTTCTCTTGAGGAGTATCTATTTAAAACATTTTGTCAAAAGTTGCAGTTCAGCGCAGTCTTGTACATATACGTTACTGGGGGAATCGTGCAATCAAAGAGTCCGAGACTTCTACATGCTGCTGATGACGAGCGTGCTGATGCTGTTCTTGCTCTCCTACGTCGGTAACGTATCGTCATTGAACTCGTCAGTCTGAAGTCATGCATAGTTGAGAGGAAACTCTTGACGAAGTTTTTGACATTTTTGATAAATGATTATGTTTTGAAATTGTGTAGACAGTAACGTGAGGTGGGGGCGTTCTAAAAATACTTGGATGGACTGTGTGAACGAGGATATGCGAGTGAAGGGTGAGATTGTGAATGGAAAAAGAGGACATTCTGCACCGATCCTCCATTGTGGGATAAGGGCAAGAAGTAGAAGAGTGTTTTATTCAAACTTCTCCTGTTGTATAAACGGGGGAACAAACCCACGGCGCACCTGGTGTTAGGTTACCGGAGCACATAGACACCATGACGTGAATGCTACCGACCCTCAAGATGGTCGAGGCGAGGTCGAAGTCTGATTAGTATAATGTTACCATTGTCCTTCGTCGTGGCCATCAAAAACATGACGCAGTTGAAACGTTCGCAATATAAAACGAAAATAATAAAAGTCAGATTCAATCGTAAAATAGGTTTAATTAACACCCCCCCCCTCCAGACCCCCCAACGCCACAACCCCTTCCCAATTCCTCTCCAACCCCGACCCCCAACCAACCCCTCTCCTCAACTCCCCTCCCCAAACCCAATCTCCCTCAAGTTTTGTCTCCTAGGCTTGTTATAAGTGTCACGGTACAACTGATGTCTGTCAAAGCTATCTTGCGTGGCGCTTTGCCAGTTGACATAGCTTTTCGTTCAATGCACTCGGGATCAATATGAAATGAACGCTGATCGCGACATTAATGTCTAAAGGGTTGACCGCACAGCGTCAGCATCACCGGCTCCTGGCCATCGGTTTGAACACCTCTCTTCCATTGCAGTTCCTGGATATTACATTCTAAATATGAATTTCTCCATCGATATCGGCCTGATGAACTTTACCCCGTGGAGGCTTCTAACCATTGTTATGGCTCTACCCCTGGGCATCAGCGCGATTGGCCTGCAGCTTTGCATAGAGAGTCCCAAGTTTTTTATCAGCATCGGGCGGCAGGACGAAGCAGTGAATAGTCTTCAAGCGATTTACATGAAGAATGGTGGAATCAAAAACAAATACCCGGTGAATACTTTAAAATGCTTCATAAGTTTTTTGTGAGGTTTTTTTTTGCTTAGATGAGCGGATAAGATCACGTTCCATCAAGTTGGTTAATCAAGTCCAAATACATCTACAATGTAAATGCCACCACCCACCTCGAAACATGAGATCTAAGGTCTCAGTTTTTACAGTACAATGTCTGCCTCATCCTTCGAACCGAAACGCATTACTGCTACACGGCAGAAATAGGCAGAGTGGTGGCACCGACCCGTGTGGACTCACAAGACTAGTAATGTTAAAATGAAACCATAGAAACGTTCAGATCCGTGATGAGGTTTATGCTCTTAAAAAGGCTCACAGTAATTTGGGGGTTTCCCCCTTAATAGTTACACGAAGGTAGACCAGCATACGGCCCGCTAGATAGGGTTTTTTATCCCCGTAGGATCCTGCACTTCACGACTTAACGACTAAAAACCTTGTAGTTTTAAATTAATCTAATTAAACTTTTCAGTTATAACAACAAAAGCAGTGATAGGTAAACTATATTTTCCTCTGGTATAGTCATGATGGATGGTAAGACATTGGTCGTAGTTAATTATTTCTATATATAACTAGCTGACCCGGCAGACTTCGTAGTGCCGCAATCGATAAATAAAAGACCTAAACTTTTGTACAAAATAAACTTAAATCCGTCCGACGCGTGACACAGCAAAGGAAAAACAAAATGTTATTTTGATTTAATTCCGAGCATTTTTATATTTATCTACCTTTTAAACCTTCTCTGGACTTCCCATTCCCGATCCTGCGGACAGAATGGAAAGCAGTCGACGTCGCCCAAAACACGTCATCTCGGATCCTCCCGATCCACTAACGGTGCTTTTAGGTACTTCAAGCACCGGTCACCGTTCCCGTTGAACCCGTCGCTTGCGACGAAGGGCTCGACGAGTAAATTAACTCCCAGACACAGCCCAATGAGTTTCTCGCCGGATCTTCTCAGTGGGTCGCGTTTCCGATCCGGTGGTAGATTCTGCGAAGCACGGCTCTTGCTAGGGTTCGTGTTAGCAACGTCATTAGGTTTGAGCCCCGTGAGCTCACCTACAAACGTTAGGGTTACGCTGAAATAGCCTCGCAAGGCTCTCAGCTTAGGTAGGAAAAAAAAAGGACTTCCACAAATAATTCAAGACCAAAATTAGCCAAATCGGTTCAGCCGTTCTCGAGTTTTAGCGAGACTAACGAACAGTAATTCATTTTTATATATAGAGATAATAATTATCTATTGCTAAGGTACGGAACGTGTATATAAGTCAGGAGACGAGCAGGAAGGGCGAGGGGAAGCCGCTACTGCAGTCCCTGAAGGACCAGACCTTCCCTTTGTTCAAGCCGCCGCTACTCCGCCGGACCGTGCAGCTGTCCTTTCTGACCTCCGTTATTTACAGCATGTACGTATTTAGCAGCAAAGTGACCCGTGTAGGAGCAGCTGAGAGACGCAGTGTCGAATGTTACCGATTTATGGTACTCGTATTGTAAATGTCAGCGGGTTTACGGATAACGGATACTTTTCGTCTAGGCTCACATCATTTCGGATTCTCCCGATCCACTAACGGAGCTTTTAGGTACCACAAGCACCGGTCATCGTTCTCGTCGAACCCGTCGCTTGCGACGAAGGGCTCGACGAGTAAATTAACCCTCAGACACAGCCCACTGAGTTTCTCGCCGGATCTTCTCAGTGGGTAGAGTTTCCGATCCGGTGGTAGATTCTGCGAAGCACTGCTCTTGCTAGGATTCGTGTTAGCAACATCGTCAGGTTTGAGCCCCATGAGCTCACCTACTAGTTAAGGTTACGCTGAAATAGCCTCTCAAGCTTAAGAAGGAAAAAAAAAGTCTAGGCTAGCATGACCCGGGCAACTGTTTATGTGCTATGGTAAGTACGACAGCATATCCACTTCGGGACTTAACGTATCAATAGTTGGAATATCCTCATAGGCTACCAGCGAAGGGGTGGGGAAAAAATAAAAAAAATAAAAACCTACCAACGGATAATATAATCGGCTGGTAGTTTACGGACCAGAGAGAGAGTGACATAACCAAATCTTTGTCCGGGGGAAATACAACATGTTCCATTCTGTCTTAATTATATATTTAACGGTACACGTTTAGTTTCTGTCGTCTAGGGATTCATGCTTTCAAGAAATATAACAATATAAATGTACTTATTTATATACCCTTAATCTCTTATTAATTGCTATCTGAAATCGGCGACCTTTAAAACTACAAACCCCCTTTAAAGTGTACAGGATTGAGACAAAGGGGACGTAGCTGGTGAGCTGTAAGGACTCTACTGTTACAGCAACAACAGTCTCGTGATGTGGATGCCGTCCATCGTCCAGGCCTTCGCTTACGGGATGGACTCGGCCGGCGCCGGCTCCATGAGCTTATGTGAGATCATCATCAGCACGCAGTACCACAACACTCCTGTTGATTCTGTATGTCACTTGAAGATATATTGCTTTTAGCGAATTAAGGCATACGTATTTGCGTTTGCTTGCAGTGGGATCAGTAGACAAACGAACTGACGGTCTAGCGTACCTGGTTACCAGAGCTCCTAGATACGACATGATCCATCTGAATACAGGACTCATCCAACCTTTAGTGTTATACACGCGCTCGTAAAAACCCCCTTAAAGTATCTGTATAGCAATAATATCCATGGACAATCTGTATTTTGTAACGTATGTTCTATGGGGAGTGCTATGAGGAATTGTTAATACCACCATCTCGTTTTTACCATCGCACCGCACGCCACTGGAGTAGAGTTTATCCATACTACCTGGAGCCACTGCATCCATCCACAGTGCGCTTCCAGAGATCTTTTTTGCCATTTACCATCCGGTTTTGGAATGAATTTCCCGAGCGCTATGATATGTCTTTCTTCAAACGAGGCTTGTGGAGAGTAGTTAACGGTAGGCAGCGCCTTGGTTCCTACTCTGGCATTGCTGAGGTTCATGGGCGACGGTAACCATTCGTCATCAGGTGGGCCGTATGCTCGTCTTCTATATAGGCAAAAAAAGAGACGCCTTCTACATTGGCAAAAAAAAAATGACGTTATCTCTGATGCAATACCTCTTAAAGTCCCGTCTGATAATGAACATCGAAAGGTGAATCCACGTTAGTTTTGAGGTTCGAAGGAACCATACACGAGACAAGTGGTCTCGGGCAACAGGTGAAGGCGGATTCTAAGGCCTTTAATTAAATAGAAATGACTCGGACACTCCGTCGAAGAGTCGATTGGATTGCTATCAAGATATGCTTTTACTTCCAATAAGTTGCCCCAAGTTGGGACTGAATTAAAAATATTAACGACTGACAATTGTGAGCCCTTTCACCGCGACATCTGGGAACACTGGTGGTAGGACCTCTTGTGAGCCCGCACGGGTGGATACCACCACCCCGCCTATTTCTGCCGTGAAGCAGTAATGCGTTTCGTTTTGAAGGGTGGGGCAGCCGTTGTAACTATACTGAGACCTTAGAACTTTTTTCAAGGTGGGTGGCGCGTTTACTTTGTAGATGTCTATGGGCTCCAGTAACCACTGAACACCAGGTGGGCTGTGAACTCGTCCACCCAACGTTTTGAAGTCGGTAAACCATTGCTCGTGTTGAATCCGTTATGACTCCCGACGAATTTCAGTTGACCTGTACCTCATCGCTCGAGGAACGCACGTTGTTCTCGGGGATTTTCCACGGCCTCCTGTTCTCTGGTATCACCGTGTGCGTGTCCAAGTTCGCGGCGCACAAGAAGGCGCTCCTCATAGCGTTCCTGGCGATACCGCTAGTGTCCAGCGCGGCCGCCGTGCTCAACCAGGACGAGTACGCGAGCCTGGTGCTGTTTGTCGGGATGATGATGACTAACTTGTGCATGGGGGTTTTGTTCTCCTATTACGTTGAGCTCTACCCGACCTCTCACAGGTAAGTACTATACCTTTCTACGGCGTCTTCTTTGTTTGGGAGTTTTAATATAGGAGAATGTCGATGATTATTTCTCAAAAATTTAAATTTATCTAAAAATCCAAATTATGGATGGGTCAACATGACTTCATACACCAGAGAAACTGTCAAACTAATTTTCTAACCTTTAAAAGTAATCTGTGTATTATGTCTGTATATGAATCTATCGTAAGAATTATGAGCGCTAGCAATGGCCGAAGGTACTGTAACGATTCCAGAAAAAAAGTTAAAAACTAGAGTTTAGCTCCCCTCTGCGTTTAATTTTTAAGGGTCTTTAGTGTAGTCCAATAGAAATTGCAAGAGATTGTTTTCGGGCAACCAATGTATCGCAGCTTCTCTGATATCTGATCTCGGTGTTGATGGCCACATCAAGTTGCCATCGAATATATAAGAGGTAAAACCTTGTCTACAATTCCAGAGGCATGGCGGCGTGCCTGGGCGTGATGGTGGCCAGACTCAGCGGCTTGGCGGGGGTCAACTTCATCGGTTCGTACGTGATGACGCACTGCGCCGCCACATTCTACGCGTTCAGCGCTTATCTGTTCTGTACGTAGCGTTAAATTGTTTGTTTATGAAGTCGTCGTGGCCTAAAGCAGCAGGAGCTGCAGGCCTAAAGGGGGGCGGTAAGAGACCCAGAAAAAAAATGGAAGAGTTTTGTAGAGGCTTGGGAGGCGGTTTGTAATTTCATCTAGGACTCTTAGACACCGACTGAGCTCTTGCTATAGTGGTTTTTAAGAAGGTGCCAAAACGGGGGCCCTAAAAATAATTTATTCTCAAAGTGGGCAGTAGACAAAATGAGTTTGAATACACCTGGCCTAAAGGATAAGACGTCCGATGCATTCGTATCGAGCGATGCACCGGTGTTCGAATCCTGCTGGCGGCAACTATTTTGTAATGAAATACGTACTTCACAAATGTTCACGATTGACTTTCACGGTGAAGGAATAACATCGTGTAATAAAAATCAGACTCCCAAAATTATAATTTGCGTAATTACTGATGGTAGGGCCTCTTGTGAATCTGCACGGGTGGGTACCACTACCCTGCCTATTTCTGCCGTGAAGCAGTAATGCGTTTCGGTTTGAAGGGTGGGGCAGCCGTTGTAACTATACTGAGACCTTAGAACTCATATCTCAATGTGGGTGGCGGCATTTATGTTGTAGATGTCTATGGGCTCCGCTAACCACTTTACACCAGGTGAGCCGTGAGATCGTCCACCCACCAAATTAATAAAAAAAAATTACCTAGTAGTATTAGAATATAATCATTATGAAGTTCTGATACCCAACTGGAGAATTATTGATAGAACTGTGAAGTACGGCTTGGATCAGATAGATCAATTGTTTTTTTTTTTTTATTGCCTTTGTAGGCAGACGAGCAAAGGACCCACCTGATGGTAAGTGGTCACCGTCGCTCATGGACGTCAGCAATGCCAGGGGAAGAGCCAAGCCACTGCCTACCATGAAGTTTCAACTGTATAGCAGCTGCCCCCCCCCCCTTCCCCCCCCGAGCTGGAATACGTCACTACTCCCCTGCGACTTTACAAATGCCTCACCACCAGCTAAAATTGCCTTTTTGACTTGGATTATCCGGAGCAACTGTATTAGACAGATGAGTTTACATGATCTGATGTGTTATTTTGCCGCAGGTGGTATAGTGGTAGCATATTTTCTCCCAGCGCCGGTCGCGAAAACGGACGCAGAATGTACAAATGAAGCCTGAAGGTTCACATCCTGCGCCGACTTGTTTCGTACTAATTAAATTTAAATACAATGTTGTTTTTATTTTTGGGTAATTTAATTTTAATCCGCGCCCACAAAAGTCCGATAGACTGTTCTTAGCAGTCGAGAACATTGGTTCATTCTGTGGCGGTAGCCATCATACAATGCAAGATATTTGACAGATACCTAAATCTCGCTTAGGACATTTTCAAGATAAGCTTGTGTATATACAAGTTCCGAACGACAATCGGACTGTCGGTCTGCTGAACAATGTTGCTAGCTCGGTGGAAGATCTTCCATCCGTCGTTAACTATCTCTAAACTTTTAAAGTTGGGGGTTTCAAGAAGATATGCTTTTCCTCCCTTAATTTTGTATTTGGAATATCGGTATGGGGTGCTTCAGATGCATTTACATACAAACCTACCTACTACTGTTTGATTTAGAAACGATGCGAATCGCTCGCCTGAAGTTGGTTTAATAAAAAAACCGTTATTGGACAACATTAAGATTATTGTTTATTTATGAGTTGCACGAGTAAGCTCTGTCGACAAAGTCGCGATATGGCGCTTTCGTCTTTACGTCGCAGCTTAGCGGTCAGCCGCGCCAGGCTGAACTTCGACCGGCATCGGCTCTCGCGGGGTCCACCTGAAATATTTTACTGGTAGTAGGACCTCTTGTGAGTCCGCGCGGGTAGGTACCACCACCCCGCCTATTTCTGCCGTGAATTAGTAATGCGTTTCGGTTTGAAGGGTGGGGCAGCCGTTGTAACTATACTGAGACTTCAGAACTTACATCTCATGGCGAATGGCGCATTTACGTTGTAGATATCTATAAGCTCCAATGACTATGGGCTGTAAGCTCGTCCACCCGACTAAGCAATAAAAAAAATTATTAATAACGGTCTGGCTGATCTTTAGAATCATCTGGCCCAGCTGGCGAGCGTGGCTGCTGTACCACGCGAGTGTGTTACCGGTGCCCAATGTGCTTAGTGCGAGTTTTTTTACTTTTCGATCGCGTAAAAGTTAACTCAAATTTGTATGGAGTTGGAACAGCGCCCCTAGCGGTAAACGAAGGGAAGCTGTTCCAATCTCATGACAACAAATCTGACAATGTCAAAAAACTCGCACTAAGCACAGAATATAAAACTCAAATCGCAGAAAATTTCTTCTACAGGATTTGAAAAAATTGAGCAACAACGGCTTCGGTCGAATGTCTCTCAGTAACCAGTTCCACTGTGGGCTTTATACCACTTGACATCAGGTCGACTATGAACTTGCTAGTTCATATCAGCGAACGAACATTACAGATTTTCGTGAGGTAATTTAACAGATGTTAGCGCTGTGGTCTGGTGACGTACCTCCGGCCACTCTGTGCCATGCCTCTCGGTCAACGTTCACCATCCCCGTGGAGGCACTCCTGCCGAGTCCCGAAGACTCCTGGGAGCCGGAACCTTGAGATTCTGCTACATTACTCTCGCAGCTCATTCTGCTTGACCTAATTGGAGCTTGTTTATTAATTAACTTATTTCATAAATATTCGCAAATGGTATGGTGTGGTGTGGAACTGGTATAGCCGTAATAATCTCGGACAACTTACACGCGATCATCTGGCCCTAGACTAGAATTCCCTGTACTATGAAAATCAGAGACTAAAATAGATACTCATTTTACTATATTTTACGATTGGCAACGGCTTCGCTCTGCATCTGGCATTGCTGACGTCCACGGGCGAGAGTAACCACTCACCATCAGGCAGACCGTATTCTTATCTGCCTACAAGGGCAATAAAACTTATATACGTGAGTCATACAGACATTAGTCAGTACAATCGGCCTGTTACTTCTGTAAAGCCATCGTTCATGTCTTAACCCCACTGAGTTTCTTGCCGGTCTTCTCAGTGAGTCGCATTTCCGATCCAGTGGTAGATTCTGCGAAGCACTGCTCTTCCTAGGGCCAGTGCTAGCAACACTTCTGGTTTGACCCCTGAGAGTTCACCTATACGCTAGGGTAAAGTTGAAATAGCCTCTCAAGGTTATCAGCATAGGTAGGGAAAAAAATATTCATGCGTTTCGGTTTCAAGAGTAGAATAAATATTTTTTCAATACAGTTAACAGCTTCTTCCCTAAGTTTATTTTTAGATATGGTCCACGGCATTCGGTTCTTACGAGATGTTGTACAGTGCCAGATTAATTTTTGATTTTATTGGGATAGGTTGTAAGTCCGCACGGGTAGGTTCCACAGTACTGTTGGACCCTTCGTTTAACTATTTATCGGCAGAAATAGGCCGGATGATAGAAATAGACCAGTAAACTACGAAAAGAGGCAAGTAATATTAGATGGTCTTACCTATCGCCAGGTCTCAAATCATTGGCAGAACTGGTCCCCTCGCGCCTCATCGGCAAAGTGGACGATAAGAATCGTTCTCTGGCAGCCTTGATCCTGGCCGCTCTCTCGGACAGGACCGTAGTGTTGTCGTGGTCGTACTGCGACGGAGGGTCAACGGTCGATATAGACCGTCCGAAGCTCGGGGATGAAGCGAGCTTGGTTATGTTAGGAGGATTGGTATCTGACATTTGCCTTAGAGCCGGCAGAGATTGCACATCAGAATATTTCGAAGAGGGTAAGTTCCTAGTGCGGTCCGGTACAATGGTGTCGGTGCTTGCCGCCCCCTTGATTGTTTCCTGACTGTCTTCCATTTTCTTCGGCGGTTTGGTGTCGTCCCCGGTCTGCTCGGGGTGTAAGGCGTTAGCACTGTAGGACTTCAGTACTCCATCGACGGCGGACGGCGTGGGGGCCAGTCGGCTCTCGGCAGATGTCTGGTCTCGCCGCGACAGCTGACAGGCGCTTGCGGATTTCTGCACTTCTCTTTCTAAGAAGGGGTTGTTTCTGTAAAAATAATATGTGTAAACGTACTATGCAAAGTTAGAAAAGAGGGGAGATTAAACGAGCGATGTGTTTGTGGATTTATCGAGGATTCACTTGTAATTCATTGCTTTTCCTTGGTCCTCCTTGTCTCCCTCTTCCTTCCTGGAGGAGCCGGAATCCGACATAACCCGGTCCGTTACCCCACTCGACTGTGTTCGAAAAACAATTCCCCAGCGTTGATTCGCTTGTAATGAACGCAGTGCCGTCTATTTGGTGGTGGACGTCCAGCATTTGTAATCTATTTTTTAACCGACTTCAAAACAGGAGGAGGTTCACAATTCGACTGTATGTTTTATTTATTTATTTATTAATTAACTACATTTACTAGTAGTAAGTAGTAACCCCAAGATAAAATACCTGATGTTAACTCCGACCGGCATGTCCGGAGGTCTTTTTCTTTCGGCAGAAGGAGACCTCCATGCTGGAGACGAAGCCCCACTGCTGTTTCCTGAAGGTGGACCTGTAGATAAAGTTAATATAAAAATAATATGGTTTTTTAATTATAGTATTTTGCACTTTAAGCAGATGAGCGTATGGTCCACTTGATGCTGAGTGTTTACCATCATGGATGTCATCAATCACCGGGGTCCAAGTGCCTTTATACCGCGAAGTACTTTACGCAAGCCTCGTTTGGAAAAGGGCATAGTGCTCATGAAACACTCTAGAGGGAGTTCATTCCAATTTCCAAAGCATCCGGCTTCCATCCGGTACATGATCCGGTACGAAAATGCACGGTGGATAAAGGCAGTGGTTCTAGGTAGTATGTATAATCTCTGCTCCAGTGGCGAGCGGCGTGATAGTAAGTGGGAACACACAAGAATCGAATTCCCTCCGTAGACCAGGTGGTTTCAACCGATTCGTGAGAATGGAATTATCGACATTCAGAACGACCTCCTTCTGTTTGGAGTGATGATATTTACTTACAAGTTTTAGAGAAATCTTCGCAATTTTAGGATTTCATAACGAACTGTTTAATTTGAAGAAGTTAAAGAAAAACAGAAACAAACCTTAAAAGTTTAAATGTGAAGGAGATATTTATGGACATGCAAACTAACACAAATTCTTTGATTTTAATGTAGTCGGAAAGATTACCTTCTTCGTTAATTTTCTTATTGTATCTTTGTATCATGATGCGGATTGACGGAGCAGTTTCTTTTAGCTGAGGTTTCCTCTGTGACGACGGGGACAGCGGAAGAGGCGGTCGACTCCTTTTTTTCTGTTCCTCGTTATCCAGAAGATCACCAGAACTCTTGGAACGTGTCTTTTCTTTCTTTCCTATTTTCTCAGTAAATTGCTTCTTTGTTTCTGGGTAATGTCGGTGTTCGACCGTTCTCACATTGTCCAAATCCTCAACGTTGACGGGTATCACCGCCCTGGGGACGGACTCGCCGCTTCTAACGACCGGCGAAAATATTTTTCGTGTGGTCTTCACTATTACTTCCGGTGTACCTTCTCTCGGCTCTGGTGCTTTGAATTTAAGCACGAAAACCTGTAGGGAATTTGAATAAAACTACTATAAATTCACACAGTTTAATCAGGCTCAATACGTCGTCGGGTAAACCCATTCAAGTTCAGAGATTGACAAAATCCAATTTTAGTTGAGACTCCAGAACCAGTGTGCTTAGTGCGAGTTTTTTAACTTTTTCGATAGCGTAAAAGTTAATTAATAAAAAATTTGTATACAGTTGGAACAGCGACCTAGTGACAAACGTAGGCAAACGTTCCAACTGTACACAAATTCGAGTTAGCTTTTAAGCTATCGAGAACATTAAAAAACTCACACTAAGCACACAGAAGTCTTCTACGCCGTCTTGCCTTCACTGCTTTAACGTTAGGAATGTGTTGTACTTACATCGCCTTCTGAATCGGAGTGGAGCGAAGCGGGCGGCGTCCTTGGTTTCTCCGAGGTGCGTCTGGGCCGTTTTCGTCTCCGCGGTATTTCCACCGTGACCGTATCCACCTCTGGTTCAGTGTCGCTCTCCGAAGGTTTCGACTGTTGCCTTTCCAACCTCACTCTACACTTATTCTTCTTCTTTCCGTTCGTTTTGTCGGCTTCCTTGCGCTCTGCAAGTTCTGTTATGCTCTCTCTAGATCCTTTCGATTTCGTTTTAGTTACTTTTTCTATGTTTTTACTGGTTGATGGAGGAGATTCTTTGCTATCGGTTTCATCTTTATAGGCATCCTCAATTATCGTAGTTTCTTTGAATCGACTCGATCCCATTTTAACCTCTTCGATTGTTTTCATTATGAACTTTGCGTCCTCCTCTATGCTCGGTTGTCTTACGAATGTTTTCTTTCTCTCTGAATTTTTACTCTGAAACAGCATTTACTGTATTGTTTTATAATGCGTTTTGTTTTAAGAAATATTAATTTTTATGTTACCTGTTCTCGTGTGCTTTTAGGAGTAGTTCCAGTTTCTTTTGATTTCCCGCCTCTCGTTGAAAGGACAACTGTTAAACAATGAAATATCTTATCGTCTTCTTTATAGAAACATATTTGAAGAGGCTTGTATTGCTCTTTCGATGTCTTTGAGTCATAAGGACCATTGTGAGCGATCATGTCTCATAGACTTTCGTCTGAAGATACGCGGCATATGGGATTTACTTATTATTGCTGTATTATTACTGCTCGTACAAGTACATGATTGTAACGCCATTTTGAAAATCTGAGTGACTGAAGACTTCAATTAGAGACTGTGGAGTCGTCGTGGCTTAAAGGATAATATGGATTTATGGAAAGGATTCATATTTAGGGATGCGACCGGTTTTCGAATCCTGCAGACAACTACCAATGTTTCTAATTAAATACCAGCTTACAAAATGTTCACGTTGAAGAAATAACGTCGTAAAATTTCGTAATTATTGGTAGTAGGACGTCTTGTGAGCCCGCACGGGTAGGTACTATCACTCTGCCTACTTCAGCCGTAAATCAGCAATGTGTTTCGGTTTGAAAATACGTAAGATAAATGCCGCAAGGTGGGTGGCCGCATTGACGATTAGGTTGTTGATGTCTATGGGCTTCAGTAACCGCTTAACACCAGATGAATTGTGAGCTCGTTTACAAAAATAAGTCTTCTTCGACCCGTGTCCACCCAATGCTGAGTGTAGGTCTCTTCGAATGCACCCTATTCTTTTCGGTCTTTTGCCTTTCGCATCCAGTCCTTACCGGCCACTTTGACCAGGTCTCCACTCCAATAATAATAAATAAGTAATATAATATAATAACAAAGTTTTTTTATGCCCCAATCTTTTTCCTACGATCACGAAGGACATTGAACTATTACACCCACATCTGCTCTAAATGTCTAAAATAATCCATCGAATGATATATCTCACCAGCTCCGTTAGGCTGCAACACCGCTGTTCCGGTGACCGCTGAACTGGTCTCGCAGAGTAACCTGGCCTCGGCCTGGCCGTAGGTGTAAACTGGCTTTTGAGGAGTGTGACAAGGAGACACCGCTACAAGCGGCGCTGCTGTACATACTTCTTCATCCTCCACTTCGAATATAACGGCGCCTCGAGAGTTTGGACTCTCGCAGTCTTCGCCCCCATCAAGCTGGTTGTTGGATTAGTATTGATCAATAGTAACTTCCTGTATATTGTCAATAGTAACTTTTTTTTTTTTTTATTGCCTTTGTAGGCAGACGGGCATACGGCCCACCTGATGGTGAGTGGTTACCGTCGCCCATGGACTTCAGCAATGCCAGGGGCAGAGCCAAGCCGCTGCCTACAAACTTTTGTGGAGAGTATTAAGCGGTAGGTAGCGGCTTGGCTCTGCCCCTGGCATTGCTGAAGTCCATGCGCGACGGTAACCACTCACCATCAGGTGGGCCGTATGCTCGTCTGCCTAAAAGGGCAATAAAAAAAAATTCTACGGGAGCTCAGGGTTGATAGCGCTGAGAAGGTCTTATCCATTCAATCGCAGGTTCATATTTACTACGCTTTTAATTTTGGGAACAAATAAATCATGGTAACAACCTTAAATTCGATATATTATCATTTGTTTCTAACTTCACATCGTGATCTTTAAATCTGTAAGACAGTCTTGGTATATAGGCGGAGCCATCGAGAATGCTGATCTGCTGAATGAAAAGCTACTATTGCTAATTTAACTTGTTTGGGAGGAAATATTGTTCTGTGCGAGTTTTTTAACGTTCTCGATAGCGTAAAAGTTAACTCAAATTTGTTTGGAGTTGGAACGTTTGCTTACATTTGCCGTTAGGGACGCTGTTTCAACTGTTTAAAAATTTGACCTAACTTTTATGGTTTTGTCTTTTTGTTTTGTTTTGTTGATTGAGAGCATATGTCTAAATATTATAGTTATACCGCAATAAGTGTTCTTTTATTAAAAAAAAAAAACAACGTCATTGAAATTTTTGTTAAAGACCCCTAGCGGAGCCGGAGCGGGCCGCTAGTTCTGTTAAAAAGAAACTCACTGAATGGTCTCTCTCGTACTCCGAATCAAAGTTATCAGCATCGTTGACGCTGAGGCTGGAGCCCTGGCGGCGTGCGAGGCCCATGGGCGCGGGGGCCACGCTGCCGTCAGACTGGGTGCGCGTGAGGGGCGCCTGGGGTACCTTGCTCCTTTCCTTGGCGGCCTTCAGGAGCGCGGACGTGGAGGCTTCAGGGGCTATCCCTCGAGACTTCTCCCACTCGTGGAGCTTGCGGGTGAATGACCGGGATATACCTGAAAGTCACATATTTATTTTGGCCATGTGGACACGAAAAATGAACACATGAAAAATTGTAAAAGATAACAAGTGACATTCATTACAATATCCTTTAGGTTCTTCTTTTACTTTTAATTGGGCAAGTATTTTGAAAGAAATAGGATCTTATGGTTAGATCGTTACGTATAGGTAATCAGTAAAATGTACTACTCTGTGATGTCTTTAGTGGTGGTACTTAGCAACTCGCTCGATTTCTTTCTGGCGTGAGACAAAATAAAGCATCCCGCTGATTCATTGTATACGCCGAGCTCTTAAGGCTGTGGTACTTTTTGGAACGGACGGTTGAGTTTGAATTGAAGTCCAATAGAAAGATGTAAATCGTACTTATGATCCAGTGGTATCATAAATGTTCCTTTTTGCAATTACCGTTTACCTTTTTAATTACTGTTTTGAAGAGTGAATGACCACATCTCATGTAGTGTTAAATCGTAATGGAAGCTCATAGGTATCGCCTAGCTAATGCCACCATTTATCCTGAGATATGAGGTGTAAGTCTAAATTAAAATTCCGATGCTTGAAATCTTTTTTTTTTATTGCTTAGATGGATGGACGAGCTCACAGCCCACCTGGTGTTAAGTGGTTACTGGAGCCCATAGACATCCACAACGTAAATGCGCCACCCACCTTGAGATGTAAGTTCTAAGGTCTCAGTATAGTTACAACGGCTGCCCCACCCTTCAAATCAAAACGCATCGGAACGTAAAACGCATTGCTGCAAAAAGAGGCAAGACGGTGGTACCAACTCGTGCAGGCTTACAATAAATGTCGATTCCTTGTTAATTTAAGATTGTTAAATGACCTTGAAACTTAAACAGTCCCGTCGATGTTTGTACGAGGACTTCATCAGGTTTCGCCACTTTTTCCCAAGTTGGAACTGTGTTGGTTTCTTTCATGCGTTCCCATGCATCTGTAAGTTATACGTTCTACTGTTATTCTAAGCATATCGACGCTTGAAAGGCAAACGTGACTAAGCGACAATAACTGCTTTGTACATAAATGATAGGCAATAACCATATTCGATGCGCAAAAAAATTAATAGATTTTTTTTCAGGTATTTCAACTTTAAATTAGTCTACTGTAAAGTTCACGCATTGTCGCTTAGTCACGTTTGCCTTTCAAGCGTCGATATGCTTAACCAATGATTTATTAACTCATATGAGTAAAATAAGCATCAATAAAGTATATATAGAAATACATTAAATAAAGTTTAAATTTTCATTATCCTTTTTACATCTTGATACGACTTGCGAAACTATCTTTTGCTTCGAGATATATAGTTCGGGATATTCTTATGTGAGCTTGGACAATTGTTAAATATTAGGTGGATTTCTTGCAAAATTAAGGGGCGTGCTTCTAAATCTATACTAATATATTAATCTATAGTGGTTTTTACAGATGTTCCGTTATAATTACTGAACTATGGGGTCCGATTGAGTTGAAACTATCCATGTAGAAAATACATGTACTTAATGGATAGGCTAATATTTAAATGAGTGTTGGAGTCCCTACACCAGTTACAGGGGCGTTAATGATGAGAATCTTTCTGGAGGTGAGAAATAATAATGTTAATTTTAAATTCCCAGCGAAGCGGACGGGTACAGCTAGTAATTCGTAACTATACTTGAGACCTTAGAACTTATATCTCAAGGTGGGTGGCGCATTTATGTTGTAGATGTCTATGGGCTCCAGTAACCACTTAACACCAGATGGGCTGTGAGCTCGTCCACCTTCCTAAGCAATAAAAAAATTTTCAATAAATGCATTGGAAGTTCATCTGTGAAATTTTCAATAATAAAATACCGTATCTCTTCAAAAAGTCTTCGCTCAAATCTTGCCTCGCCGGCACTGGTAGGGGTTGCTTTACTGCTCCTGTCTTCAGCTGCCATTCAACCAGTTTCTTTCGGAAATCGGCTGATAGCTGCTCCTCAGTTGCTACAGGACGAGATGCTGGAAATATCGTACGAGTATTATTTTTTTTGGAAAACATAGCAAGGGAAAAATTACTCCTAACTATGGAAGGTAGAAGGACGAAGGACCATCTTGTCCCCTATGGGACAAGGCGAAAAATTATCCACCTGTAAACAGCAAGTTATTGTTGAAAAACTCACCTAAATATCACTGATGTAGGAAATAGAAATGATAATATTATATGAGTATAGAAGATTTAAATAGAGTCAACTTTGCTGAGTTGAAAATGTATTTTACGTGATTTGTGTAGTTACAACATATGCGGTATTTAAAATCAACTATCTACTTTTATTACCATTTATGAAGGAGATGTTTATTTCCTTCTTAATTTAATATCCTACTGTTTATGTCGCTGTTTTTTTAAATCTTTCCACGTGCTGCTATGGCGCCACCTTATTGTCTCCTTTTAGCGGACATTTTTTAATACACTCAGAGGTACTTCTTACTTCATACTGCTAACAACGAAGATCGGCTTAAGTTTTACGTGTTGAGAGAGATGAATTATCCGAATACATTGAAGGATTACTGTGTTGATTGCATTCTGTCAGAGGTGCTGCCTATTCAATATTAGAAGAACTACACACCGGCGTGCAACTTATCGCGTCTGTCCGAAAATTCCCTGCACAGTCTAGACTGCAGAGCTGCATAATCACGGGCAATTTCTTCTTTGACGCCGCCCGCCTCACAACCGCTGCTTAGACCCTCCGTCTCTGAGGACACGAGACCACGCTTATCATAAAACAAAAACATTCCAAATGCTGAAAATTATAAGATGAGCATTAAAATAATAGGACAGTATTTATTTACGACGATACGTGTGGAATTTTAAAAATTATACACAAATTATTATTAATTATAATAGTATGGTTTAGTAGTAAGTTCTTTGAGTGACTCGATTTTTGACGAGGCCGTGAAAACAACTGAGCCAAGCAATTGATTATTCATGGCGCTGTGTTGCTTATCGGCCAAAGAACAGTTACTTCTACAGCGACTGGGTACTGAAAATGCACATATTTTCAAGAAAAATATGATTTTTATAAAGGTTCCTTAGACGTTCGCGAGTCATAGATGTAATATTCCATTTCTGTAAAGGCAGACTATACTGTCGTATGCCCCTAACAGTAGCATTAAGGGTAAGGGTATAAGTTTTTTTTATCTTTGAGGGATTACTGGTGGCCCGGAGGCCTTTCCAGTTTCACCAGGATAGGTGGACGAGCAAGGGCTCAGCCAGGGAGGGTTAAGGTATCTTACGTTCTAATCTATAGTCATAAGAAATGTGACGTTTGTTTTGTATTTTTTTCTTATTTCTTGGGTGATTGAATCATGCGCTCCCACTAAGGCCGTAGGCAATGTAATTGAAAACATCGTTATCTTCATCTTCATCTATGAGAAAAACGTCTACACAGTGGAATATTTAAAAAAATATTGTAATTTCATATTTACTGTATGAATTACACCTAGAGTTTGACACTAACTAAACTCATATTCTTCATTTCACTTAACCTTGTCATAAATATTGTTACAACGAAAACATCATTTTTATATGTATTACTAGCTGACCCGGCAGACTTCGTAGTGCCTCAATCGATAAATAAAAGACCTAAACTTTGTATAAAATAAACTTAAAACAAACAAAAGGAATCCTTCCGAAGGGGGACACATCAAAGGAAAAACAAAATTGTTATTTTTATTTAATTCCGAGCATTTTCATATTTATCTACCTTTTAAACCTTCTCTGGATTTCTACAAATAATTCAAGACCAAAATTAGCCAAATCGATCCAGCCGTTCTCGAGTTTTAGCGAGACTAACGAACAGCAATTCAGTTTTATATATATAGACGTGAAACATTAATTTGCATTGTTATGCATTGTGCGTTACTTATTGCACTAACATAATATTAAAAATATAAAGATCATTCAAAACTATACCTCCATTCCTATCTCCATTTGATTCTATAAATTAATTCGATAAACATAGTGATCATTAATCGATTGAAACATGTACTTTCCACCATGAGAAAACTCCTCACTACCAATATTATGCAAAGTTATAAATCTCAAATATATTAAGTGTATAATCTATGGTTATAGAGACAGAAAGTTATATAATCTCTAAAACTCTAAGAACATTATAATTTTGACACTAATTAGAAACAATTTAAGAATCGTTTGGAATAAAATAAGCGCAAAGAGAATTAAATAACTTTATCTGTATTATGGTTTATCGGTAAGATAATGTGTTTTGTAGTGATAATAAATAAATCAAATTATATTGGTTCCATAAATCAATGTACTTATGTATATTCCACAGACGTATGCAATAAGTGTCCCATTAAAACATGTTTATGATATATAATGAAGAACATATATATATTTTTAATATCTCTGAAATAATAATTAAGTCTATTGGCTATTTTTTATTTCATAGCTGACGTGAATAAATAGAGCGACTGACATGAAGTTTTGGATTGTCAAAAGATTTTTGAAACTTGTGTGAACAAAATTTTAGTTTGATGAAAAAAATATTGCATAAAAACTAAGACGATGTGAGTGTAATTATGTTTGTTTGTCGCTGCATGCTGACAAGCGCTTCGTTCGGATAACGTTAAGTGCTTATCGGAGCTCACAGATTACACAAAAAGCAAGTCGTAACTTATTCATTTCTTTTCACCTAAGTAAGCCAGATTTTGACTAAATATGTATTTAATAACAAAAGTACACTTAATAAGAGTTGGCCTACGATACTTTTATCTAAGATAAAATAATTTAGATGGTCTAAAATATCAAAACTGTTAATGCCACTTTTACGCCGATGCATATTTCAGTTTTTTTTATTTTTATTTTTTATTACTTAGATGGGTGGACGAGCTCACAGCCCACCTGGTTAACGCATTACTGCTTCACGGCAGAAATAGGTAGAGTGGTGGTACCTGTGTGGCCTCACAAGAGGACCTACCATCAGTAAAGTTTGCGTGAGTTCACTCACTCACATACAGGAAATGACGCGGCCGCTTTCGAAGTAGAAACAGGAATAGAAAACAAGCCTAAACGAAACTGATACAAAACGCTAAAGCAATAAACAGTTGTCGTTTCAGTAAATTCCAAATTAGTGATCCGCTTTAGAACTTGAAGTTAACACGCAGATAACTCTCGTGTACCCTTTTACCCCGGTAAATACCCCGTCAAGCAATAGTCCATCAAAAATGGTGTCTGTCGTGGCGTGCAACCTCTTTGACAGGACATAAGACCTACAAAGACTAGACATAGACTAAGACAGAGACTTGACAAGAATTCGAAAAGAAACAAAGGAGAGAAATGGAACAAAGGCGGACGTGACTAGCGGCAGGCAGTACTTTTAATGCCTTCCTAAAAGGCAGACACGAACCAGACGACAAGGAATGAAAACCGTTCTCAAATGTACATAAAATAGATGACAAACGGATGAACCGACCCTTCATTGGTATTTAAGCACTCTGCGAATTTAATATTTTCACCTCAGCAGCTGAAACATGCCGCTTTTGTTGCGAGACAACAGTGAACTAAGCGCGATTTTGATTCGAGCGTGGGTCAAAATAGCTTTTTAATTTTTCAATCTTCAGCGCCACGAATTGACATTGTTCAGCCATAAATTTGAAACATTCGAATTTTACTGTGCTCACGTGCATATACAAAAGCAAGTGAAAAAAACAAACCCCACCGAAATTCGATTTTGGAATTCGACCTCAAAGGAAACACGTTCGGAAACGCGTAATACCCAAAAATTTAAAGATATTTGTAATAAAATCATTACGTTTTTTTTAATAGTTATTTCAATCTATTCCAGTTCATTTCTATATCTCCTAAGTAATATGTGTTCTCACTGCTGAGGTGAAAAGTTATGTGTGCTACACGAGAGCAAAAGTTTTTTGCATCTCGTGCTGTTGAGTCCCTCACAACGCTATTCTAACTTTGAATCACACTCTACGCTCGTGAATCCATCATAGAATGTTTCGCTTGCTCGGGACTCAAAATCAGCACTCGAACCAAAAAACAACTTTGCTTTCTTGTTGCACAAATAACAATTTCTTGGTCGGAGATCTTTAGCACTACCTCTCTTTTCGAGAACGATTTCAGAACACCCTGTATATATGATTCGCTTTAAAGGCTTCGTCAAACAGAACGCGTACTTAGCGCCGCGTCTTAACGTCGCGCTCTTTTCATGTCACAACAATTGACTAGATGAGTCTAACGCTTCTTGACGCAACGCATTCGCCAAATCATAGTGCCTTTCGATAGCAGTCTGAAAATTTAAAAGTATTAAGAAATCGAGTGATTCAGATGTGGCATTGTATAAGCATGGGTATTTTCTAACAATTTCTATCATTTTTTAGGGCATTATCTAGTATTTTAATATACATTCATTCGGACGCTAAAATAAAATTTGTAAAAAATTACAACGCCTGACGTCAAAGCGTCCTAACGGCGCGACAGAACGTCGCGTACTTATAGCGCTGGCGCTCTGTTTGACGGTATATTACCATAGCAGTACAACACATCTCGGCGTGATAGTGCGCCGTCAGTTTAACGCTCTGACGCGCGCTAAGTACGCGTTCTGTTTGACGAAGCCTTTAGTTCTGTGCTCGGATCCGAGAACTCGAATGTATTTTTTGTTACAGGTGCAGGAAGTACTCGTCTTGATCATTAAGGCAAATGTTCTTCAGTCTGTTGGCCCTCGCGTTAGCAGGATTAGCTCTGTATGTTTACGTAAGTTTTGTATTTCAATTGGTTTTCATTATACTTCGGATTCGTGATGTTGAGCAGCTACCGAGGACGCTTATCGCAGTCTCAAACTGAAATCTCAATTGAGGTGCAGTATCAATTGTCAGCCAGCTTTCACTGGTAGGAGATTGTATTGATTCACCATTCTGTATATTTTTGCAACGAAGCAATCATGGCTCCTGGTAAGGATAGGACGGACTCGTGTTACGCTTTACCACTCGGGCTACTAGTACCAGAATTACGAACTTACTGACTATCCATGTTGGGCTTAGTAAATAAGTATTTTTTCTCTTAGATTATGGTCCATTATTTTCTGGCTTAGTTCATTTGTCTTCAGGTAGGTAACGTAAAACCTTTTTAAGGACATTATGCGGAAAATACGACCGCCATATTTAAAACATGTATACTATGAATAAATAATGAAAGTTATTAATATATCCGTTGACTTGGCCCAGAAAATGGTCGGTTACCTATAGAGCATGTTGAGCAATTATAGAGAGCTTCTAAAGTTTTTGTTTTGTCTAAATCAACGGTATTCCATTAACTCTGTTTGTTATTTTGGCTTCAGAAACACGTTAGGAGAAATAATTAGCTAGTCATTAGTGGTAATACAATTTGTAAGGAAATATTCTTGATATTTGGTGAATTTGCAATCATAAAAAAATTGGGGGAACAGAAGCGTTCGCATGCTTCTGCGCAATTATTATCTTCTAAATTGAATTGAATAACCTCGGCCGATTTTTCGTGATTGAGAAATTCAAACATTTTAATTAACAAACACTTCATCGAAAACTTCAAATCCATAAAGCTTTTCATATTTATAACTTGTGAAAGTGTTTTTGTTTGTTTTTAAGTAGTCACCAGAACCCTTAAAGATAAGAACGTGAATTTCGCGGTCTTAAAGGCCCTTCCTATAAGGTCCACGGCTCAATTTCATTTGATTTTAATTTTTTTATATCGCTTGGACATGAGGTGGCAGTTACAATTTATGTTGTATAAGAGGCTATCTTAGGAGTAACGCGTGATGGATGTTCTGCGCTTTCGAAGAAGGCCCTCGGTAGTTTCACGACAAGAACGCGGACCGGGTAGGACATCTGTAGACTCGTGACTTTTGAATGAACTAAATGATCAAAATAGCGTTATTTTTCTGAACGCCAACAGACACACGAGAACACTCAACAGAGTTCGGCCTCCATTCTCCGCGAGGTGTGGACTGGGAAATGTCAGCTGTCGTGCTGCGAGAGCCGTGACGGCAACGCACATGAAGCAGGGTCCAGTTCTGGTCCAGACCCCTGCGCCTGTGCCCCTTGTCCTTGCAGAGTGCTCGCCAGTGTATACAGGTTGGCGGCTTCTTAGCCACATTCACCATTGCTTACAATATTGATTGTCGAATATTGTCGAATAATTATAATTGTTGCATTTTTCAAAGGCTTAGGAAATAAAAGTTTTGTTCGAGGTTTTTCCAGAGACCAGGCGCTCTTGGTATGCAGACGAGCTTATGGCCCTAATGGTAAGTATTCACTGTCGCCCATGGACGTTGCCAATGCCAGGCATAGCTGCTGCCTAATGCTGAAGTGTCTAAATCCTCGTTTTAAGAAGAATATATCATAGCTTTCGGCAGACGCTGTGGAGGGGAGCTCGTTCTAAATATTATTTCTGCTGTCTTTTTTTCTTAGGATTGTAAGCTAAGATAGTAAATCGTATGAATCTTTCTAGAACATGCCGTCCAGCGGGCCAGGCCTACAGGAGAATAGCCGATACAATATCGGACTGTTTCTACATCGGTTTGATTATGGTAAATATTTGTATAGTTTTTACCGAGAACATAATGTTTATATGTGTTACTAGCGGCTTGTGGTTATTTTTTCCGAGAATTCATTGGAATAATTTAAGATTTTTTTTGTCTGTTACAGCTTTACGTTAATTGCCACTACTATTAGGGTGACTGTGGAAGTTTGAGCCATATTACTGTCCCATCATTGTGTAGTTTCTGGATGTAAGCGATGGAATCTGCATTCCGTGATCCAGTGACCTTTGTCAAGACATCATTTTGTAGCGTGATTCTATCCCCCTGTATTGCTGTAACCGTGTTGCCCTCTACTACATTAATACGTAATGGGGACTTGGAGTTTAAATTACGATTTCTGCGCGATATCATATACCAGATCAGAGTTGTTAAGGTTCAAATTACTATAAATGGTATAGGATAGGATAAACCACTGAATGGTTGAATATCGCTAGTATATTATTGAATTGTGACTGGTGGTGGGACGTACTTTGCGCACTGTGAGCCCGTATGGGTAGGAATCACTGTCCATTTTTTTCTTTTCTTCTTTTTTAACGCTGTGGAATCCATTTACGGATACCCGGTTGAGGGGGGTAACGTACCGTGTTATGTCGGACTCCGGCGCCTCCAGAGAGGAAGAGGGAAACAAGGAGGGCCAAGGAGGAACCACTATCCTGCCCAATTCAACTGCCAAAGAGTCACGCGCTCTGAAGTAAGCAATACAACTAAAGCTTCGAACTCATGTTTTAAGGCCAGTGACGGCATTCACTTTGCGTTATCTATGGGCTCCAGCCACCACTTATTATAAGGTGTGCTGGAATTGCGTCGACCGACCTTGCGCAATAAACAATAATTAAAAAAAAAATACCACAGAACTATACATTTCCTTACATCTGGCAGCCCCATCGAGTCTGGCAACGGTCCAAAGCCCACTTACTGACGTTTAGTCGTTAAATCAGCGAAGAATTTAAGAAATTCGCATTCTTCTCTTTATATTTATCGAAGATTTAACATTTTTTTTATTTGTCTGCATCTCTTTATTTTCAAGGTCCATTATTTCATTTGTTTTACTGAAATATGTGTGTATTTATAATGCGTGGCGTTCGATGTAGATGAGAGCGTAAAATTAATGTCTCTCCAGGAAAATAAAGTTAATTATCTATCAGATAGGTTTGTACGACATACATATTTTTTTTGTTTTTTGTTTTCGTGACCGTGTTGCTGTATTTGTGAATTTAGATCTCTCAGTGTTTCGGTATTTACCTAACGACGGCCGAGACAACGATGATTCGCATTATCAATGAGTTTGTTTTTGGCTTTTCGGGTATTGTTTTTCGTACATCTGATATCGTTCTGAAGTTTTTTTTCCCTACCTAATCGTTGGGAGCCTAAGGGACTATTCCAACTACTCACAGACCGATAGGTGAGCTCACCGTCTCAGCCTGAGAGAATTTCTAACATTGACCCTAGCATGAGCAGTGAGAATTGCGACCCACTGAGAAGATCTGGCGAGAAACTCAGCGTGCTGTGTGTCCGTTCTGAGCATTTCAATCCTCGTGGACTTACCGCTCGTCTGGAAAGATTGTCTTAAAACAGTCGACGTTGATAGTTTATTAATTCGTAATTTATTTTTCAGTTAGCAGAAGCATTTATGTACATTCAGAGGGTGTTTCAGTTCGGTAGATCGCGAGAGAGACAAGCCGAGGTAATCTATTTATTAATACGTGAAACAAAAACTTTGTATCCCTTTTTATGAAAATTGCGCGGACGGAGGATTATGAAATTTTCCACACTTATAGAGAATATAGAGAAGAAGTGCACAACGCTAATATTTTTTTAAAATAATGCATAAAATATACATTAAATCAATAAAGAAAACATTACACACACTACATACCATGTATTTGACGCACACACGCATGCATACTATTTATTGTCAAACTTTTGTTCTTGACGTCTGTGGTCAAATTGAGAATAGATTAAATATTGTTTGTCTTTATTAATATTTTTTATAGTGTAGCCTAGGCGAAATTTGTGATTATAGAAGTATAAAATACAATCATAATAGTGTACAAACTTACAATTCCAATTAATTATAGTCGAATTTCGACTACTGCGGGACCTCTAGTCTATATATTAATACGTGAAGCAAAAACTTTGTATCCCTTTTTACGAAAATTGCGAGGACGGAGGAGTATGAAATTTCCCACACTTATAGAGCAGAAGTGCACAATGATAATATTTTTTTAAATAATGCATCAAAGATACATTAAATCAATAAAGAAAACATTACACACACTACCATGTATTTGACATACACACACATGCATACTACTTATTTATTGTCAAACTTTTCTTTGCAGTCTGTCAGTTATAGTCGGTAAAATGGACAATAGATTAAATATTGTTTTCCCTTAATTAATATTTGTCTAAAGTGTAGTCTTGACGAAATATGTGATTAAAGAAGTATAATAGTCCTTGACAATAGGATCATAATAGTGTACAAACTTATAATTTCCATTAGTTATAGTCGAATTTCGACTACCAGGGGACCTCTAGTTGTATTAAATTTACATTAGGGCTTTGCTATAAAACGACCATATTATTATGTATTAGGCTGATGTATTTGCTTGGGAGTGCGGGCTTACAGCTCTCTTAGTGGCAACTATCGGGACGCGTAGGAATAACGTAAGTACCACCACTCGCCTCGAGATACGAGGTGGAGGTAAACAGCGATCAATGTTGCCAGCAATGTAAGGCAAACTTTGGTTTTTGGTGGGTAGGATGTGTTTTAAACCCTCACGGATCGATATCGTCTCTAAGTGCGCAGCGGCATTCACGACGTGGTGACTTATGGTCCCCGGTAGCCGGCATACCAGATGCGCCGTGAATTTGTCGGCCTGTTGCCAATACAAAAACAATTATTCTGACGCGGTCTATCGTTCTACCAATGTATAATATTTACAGACGCAACGCTTATCTGTTTATGAATCCGATTTCGATGAATTTTAGCTTTAATTATGATTAAATCCTGTTTCGTAATGTATGTTGCTAAAGTAGTTTAGTCTATTCGACTTCGAGGACAGATCCTTTAAGCTCCCAGTTGTTACTGTTGGTTTTTATGCCTACTAGTAAAATGGCCATCTTTACTGCCTTAGATGGCAGGCAATCACCTGGTCCTCTTGATGGCAAGTGGTTAGTGATGATCATGGACGTGGTGATACCGCTGACACAACTGAGCTGTTTTTTTTCCTACCTCTACTGGTAGCCTTGAGAGGCTATTTCTGCTTCTCTTTGACGTGTAGGTGAGCTCACGGGGTTCAAACCGGGAGAGTTGCTAACACTGGCCCTAGCAAGAGCAGTGCTTCGAAGAATCTACCACCAGATCGGAAACGCGACCCATTGAGAAGATCCGGCGAGAAACTCAGTGGGCTGTGTCTGTGGGTTCTGAGCCGCTGCTCACTTGCACATACTATTAAGAAAACACTACGAAGGGGAGATTATTATGGAGCAGAAAAGATATTTGGAGATGTCCTTTCGATGATCGTAGTTTTTTCCGGTGGTATGATCGAGGTCAGCTCTGGTGGTTGATGGTGAGATGTTAAAACGGAGATGAGTTTCATGATGATCGTCCCATACGATTCGTTAGACTATACTCCCCTTGGAAAGCAATATGTAACAAAACTGTACAAAATGGTATAAACCATAAAGAGCATTGAACCTCCTCCGTATACTTCCTTTGGACAGAATACTTTTGAAACCTAAATTCGAGAGCTATTTTGTATGTTTATGTAGTAATTTCCGGTCCATACAATAAACTGACCTATATCGTAACAGGATTACCGTGAATTTGCACAATGCGATGTGTTGAAACTGAAATAGGCGGCGATTTATAGGTCGGTCGACGGGCCAATTTGTTATTTAAATACATTTAGAAAGAGATTCTGTATTGTAGCAGCGTGTTTTAAAATTGTATTATATAAGAATTTGAATAATAAACGCTTCTAAACCATACACACATCATATATGTGAAATGGTAAACAATAATGATGCAAAAATTATAACTGTAGTATTTACAATTTCACTAGCTGACCCGGCAGACTTCGTAGTGCCTCAATCGAGAAATAAAAGTTTTGTATAAAATAAACTAAGCTTTAAACTAAAAATAACTAAACTTTTCATATTTCATATTTATCTACCTTTTAAACCTTCTCTGGACTTCCACAAATAATTCAAGACCAAAATTAACCAAATCGGTCCAGCCGTTCTCGAGTTTTAGCGAGACTAACGAACAGCAATTCATTTTTATATATATTATAGATTATTGTCAAAATGATAGGTCACTGCATTAATATTAGAAGATCCAATAGAGACTTTGAGAAATGTAAAAATCAGCTGTATATTATAGAAGAATCCGAGGAATTATGTTTGATCGTTTGAAAGTTTATCTTAGTTCAAAAGTTTTATTTCATTATTCCAGTTGGTGAATACAAATGTTTACGAATCAACAGAGAACTTCCATTTTAATGGCGACGAGCCAACGGAGAAAGTTTCCAATAAAACTAACAAGAACATCACACAACACGAGTCCGTATCGGACGCTAATAGACGGGCTATTGCGAAGGATGAATCAAACGTACCATTCAATGACAGGGATGATATTAATGAACCAAATATAGAGTTTGGTAAAAATGAAATTATTGGAAGTGTTATAAATGACAATATTCCAGGTTTTATCGAAGCGTCCGCGGCGAAAGCTGATGAAGAATCTAACGCGGTGGACGCCGGTTGTCATAAATGTTTAGAAAAGGGTAAAGTCTGTATGAGTGAATGTCCAAAAGCTAAAACGAATAAGAAATAAAAATGTTGTTCTATCTATAGTTTTATTTATACTTGAAACTGTTTTGGTTTTTTTTGTGTCACAGTATGTAGTCTATATTATTAAAAAACTTATAATATATTAACCTTATATATATATATAAGATATCAACTATGATGACAAAGATCCAAAGGGTCGAAAGATTAAGTCAATTATAGGGACAATTTCTAAGATCTAAAGATAAGACTATTCTACGCTTAGGTTAGTGCTGATTGGAAGTTAAATACCAAGTCAAGTTTATGCTACGAGTTGATGTTCTAATTCATTTGCAGTATAGCAGCTTTGTATCTATTGCACGATCTTGCCAGATCGGTGGTATTCTGAGAAGCACAGCTCATTTTATGTGGAATCTGTTAACTACTAATAATAGCGTAGTTGGAACAGCCCCTTAGGCTACCAGAGAATCGGTAAGGAAAAGAAATATGCACAGTAGTTTTGTGCCTTTGCAGATAGGCATAGAGCTCGCAGGTTCATCGCCCGCACACATGTCAGGAGCAGCCAAGTCGCAGTCTACTGCTATTCTATTAATAATATAATCACCAAAACTGCATTGATGGTAGGATGGGCGGTGAGCCCGCCTACCCGCCTGCCCGCCTGCCTAGTTCTGTCGTGAAGAAGTAATGCGTTCCGGTTTGAAGGGTGGGGCCGCCGTTGTACTATAAAACTGTGATTTAGAACTCATGTCACGAGATGGCTGACATTGAGTTATTAATGTCTATGAGGGAGTCGTGACAACGACGACCGATCTAAGTAATAAAAAAAAAACTATAAACATTGTTGTATATTTTTTCAAATGTGCTAGAAATTTGGTCTGTAAAAGACCCACTTAATGATATTAAAGTCTATCAACATCAGTGCATGTCTTTCGACTCATGATAATTGTGGTAGTTCATCAGAAGGTCATATGACACCACTTTCTATTTGCTGCATGCTGTAATCACCTCTGTACTTGAACATGCGTAGTTTCATATTTTAGATTAACATTTCTAATCAACGCTTAGTGAAATATTTATTGGTGTTTAATAATGACAATTTCTATGACTACAATTTTGAGTTTAATTTTATTATTACGCTCAACAGCCTGTGTTGCTGTAAATTAGAATATGTTGTGAAATCGAAGAGAAAAATGAGGGGAAATTGACAAACAGTGTGTCAGTTTGGCATCTCTGTCATATTAATCGAAATTTTTGTGTGACTCCGGAATAAACGTATTTGCAATTAAAATTTTTAGTGATTATGACCGGGACCCTAGAAGGAGCACGTATTTTGTGATGGAAAGAAACGGAACCTCTCAAGGCATGCTATTAGAAAGTAATACTTAGACGAGAGCTTTTGTTAGAGTTCATGACTAGGCGTAGTTTTGAGGTTTTATCACGTTTTGCCTACTTCGCTTTTTACTATCTTGGGTGTTAGGTTCCGTGTCTGTAAGGTGATCGTTCTCGTCACCAGACTGTGGAAAGATAGAAGTACAGAAGGAAGGTTTTTAGGTCAATTTGTTTATGTATCGAATTCCATTTTCGTGGTGAATAAACCTTTAAAGTTTTTTAAAGACACCTCAATAAGAGTACATATTGGCTTGATAATGTTCAACTTTGTTGCTTTATTTACAGATGATTCATGTCCGATATTGTGTTTGACCAAAACTGCGTTGTTTGTGCTGATTTCGTTATTTGTGTTGGTGAGAAATCCTTCCTGTTTAATTAACATCCGTAATTATGTTTATGAAGTCGTGACGCATGCAAATTTTTTGAGAGTTTAACGGTAGGCAGCGGCTTGGCTCTGCCCCTGGCATTGCTGAAGTCCACGGGCGACGGTAACCACTCACCATCAGATGGGCCGTATGCTCGTCTGACTACAAGGGCAATAAAAAAAAGAGCTATGTTTTTTTTGGATGGAATTATTATTGTTTTCACAAAGTAGATTTTCTTTTTGTTTTGCGTCCTGTTTTGAGATACGAGTTTCGATTCTATATAATAGGCAAGGCAATGGTACCCTACAGCTAGTATTGCTCGGTTTCAGTACCTGCCCCTCGGTGATCCGAATTGCAGCGAATCAGACGCTCGCCGACAAACGCATAGGAGTTCAGCAATAATATGTTTTTGTGATACATACGAATACTTCCTAAGGTAAAATAGTTATTTATTTTTTAAGCTTTTGACTGCCACGTAAGTCACCGGTGCCCCACGCGGCGCGCTGATGTATTTGTGTTGATTTCTGTTATTAAGCTTAAGCTTGACGCAATTAATATTACTCCATGCAAATAGCTGAAGAAGACTTTTTGTTAAATTATTTTATTAAATTTTAAGCTTTTAATAGGCTCTCCTGTAAAGTTGCGAAATGTCGCTTAAAAAATAACCGTTCACCCCTAGATATATACTAAGTAATTATACATATATTATATATATATCGCACATACGGTGCTATAAAGTCACTTATGCAATTTTTGTTAACACTGAACCGAGTATGAGAAAATACATTTTTTTTGTAGTTATTAGTGAGAGGAGATGTTTGCTTTTACTGATTAAGTTTAAAGTTGTAGTTTAAATATTATCATTTTATTTCTATAGCCTAGCAGAACTATATCAGAATTATATAATAAGATGTTGAATCTTCCAACGTTTCTCCTGAAAAATTACATCATTTGCATAAGTGACGTAATTGCACCGTATGTGCGATATGTACTCAAAGTACTTCATTTATACCAGTGATTCTCAACCTTTTTTTTGTTGCGGCACATATTTAACGATTTCAAAATTTGGCGGCACACAAAAAAAAAAGATAAAAATTATTTACTTACTACAACACACTGCATAAATAGTTTATGAAAAAATTTTAATATACGAAATAAACTAAAATATACTATATATTTTTTTTATGTGTATTTAAATATATATTCATGTTTAAAATATTTTTCTTTTAAAATAATATAATATAATAATATTAACATTATTATATATTCGCAAAATTTGGCGGCACACTTTTGAAATTTGGCGGCACACAAAAGTGTCGCGGAACAGTGGTTGAGAATCACTGATCTATACTAATATTATAAAGCTGAAGAGTTTGTTTGTTTGAACGCGCTAATCTCAGGAATTACTGGTCCGATTCGAATTCTTTCAGTGTTCGATAGCCCATTTATTGAGGAAGGCTATATAGCATCACGCTAAGACCAATACAAGTGGAGCACCAATAAGGAATGTTTCAAAATAGGGGTTTAAATAGCTCCTTAACATTCTATAATTCAAAAATATTTTCACTTTCTACGTAAATGAAGTGGGGGGTAAAATTTAGCGTTATGCCAAAGTAATTATTCCACGCGGATGGAGTCGCGGGAAAAAGCTAGTTCCTTTATATTTTTTTCAGGAGCATTTATCGTATTACCGATATAATTGAAAATGTTATTGAAATCATTATCTGCCTGGTCCTGGACGTCTTGTATGAAAGCAAATTGAGGGTACGCAAAACTTTATTAGTTTTACTCGATTATATGTAGACAATCCGTAAGCTTGTTGAGGTTAGCCAGTCCACTTATTGTTACGTCATCCAACTAGAGGCAAGACGCAATTAGTGTTCTCATTTATTGCCTAGACTGCTGATTGACCTCACGGTTCGCGTGGTGTGAAGTCGCCACCGAAGTCCGTAGACATTACACCGAAGATCCATGAAAATAATAGTATATACAGTCTATACATATGAATACAGTCGAAAGCATACCATAAATACAACTCGCGCGCTTTTTACTTCGCCAACAGATAACCTTAAAACAAGTGACATTTTAAGCAACATTAATGTTCCATGGGGAGTGCTCTGAGGAATTTTTCGAGATGATACCGTCATCTCGTCATCCATACTACCTGGAGCCACTGTGGTCATCCACAGTGCGTTTCCAGAGGTCTTTTTTGCCACGTACCATCCGGCTATGGAATGAGCTCCCCTCCACGCTTCCCGAGGGCTATGACATGTCCTTCTTCAAACGAGGTTTTTGGAGAATATTAAGTGGTAGGCAGCGGCCTGGCTCTGTCCCCGGCATTGCTGAAGTTCATGGGCGACGGTAACCACTCACCATCAGGTGTATGCGCGTCTGCCTACAAGGGCAATAAAAAAATGCACACGTTGATGTAGCGGTTACAAATTACAGATTAGTGTTCAGAGGAACGTGATCTTGTTTATCGTTAAATCTCAATATGTTGTTTTAAAAAGAAATCTTTAATCAAAAGCTTTTAGTGGCGGATTGTTTCATAATTAAAATTGTTCTTTGATCTGATCACAAAAATTCCTTTATCGAATAAAAGAAGAGGAGGTTAGGAATTTTTATGTTCCAAAATTATTTGTGTTTCGAATCATAGACACGAAAATAGAAACGAGGAACATTTAATATTGTCTTTGTTTACTTTTTACGGAATATACGATATTTATAAGTGTTTAAAATATTCTTGGTGGCGGATGAACATGAATAAATGTGTGATCAGTTCCTTAAGGGACGCGAATCAATTGAGAACAATAAATAGTCTGTGGTTTTTGTGAATATTTAATGTTTACTGTATGCTCTGAAATAACTGTCAGCTAAGTGTTTGGGTGCAATAGCTGACCCGATGTAATGGATCGCACAGACTGCGTCTTTCACGCCCCGGAGTAATCTTAGGAGAAGCTAGGTCAACTTGAATTATTACAGACTTTATTTTTTAGTTTTACTCACTGCTGGAGAAATTGGATAAGCACGATTTATGCGCCGCGGCCTGTTGTCAAAATACTGTGAGTAAAATGCTGTTTACATTTTTCTTTATTTTAACATTATATCATGGTCCACCGATATTAAGTGGTGACCAGAGACCGTAAACATGAGGTAGTGATTTAATTTCGCGGCAGACATAGTGCGATCTCGCAGTAAGCCCTCTTACCAAGAGATGGTTAGGAAGATGGTGTCAGCCTAAATTTAGAGCTTAATTTATGAAAATGCATAAGGACTGACCAAATAAAGTCGC